ATGAGATCATCAAGATGCAGACGCAAACAGGCATCTTCACTGCCTAGGACGAGAACGACCCTTTGCTTCGCACTATCCTCTCACGAGAAGAGAGACCCGCAGCGTCGCAGCCGCGGGAAGCCAGTGTATTACGGCGAACGAGGGGTCGTGAACTGAAACCGCAGCAGTCCGAGCGAGCAGATGCCGATGTTCTCCAAATTGGCGCTCCAAATGCAGGTAGTCGGGACGTGTATCAACCTGGACAGCTTCAACAGCACCAGCAAGGTAGTGGCTGCGACAGCAGGCGCTGTAAGCGTAGACCAGCACTTCTCCCATCCACAACGACAGCAAACAAGCCATCGAGAGCAAAAGCAGTGACAACAACAACCAAAAGCAAGACCCCTGTCCAAAATCTGGGTAAAAAAACATAAACGCAACAGCGCAGCTTAGCAGCAGCTCTGGATAGAACAAATTCTATTACAATCGAAGCCGTTTGCCCAGAAAATAAATTACTAAATGTCGCCAGTTGCAACACTGACACCATCTCCATTAGCCGAAGCGGAAACAAAAAATCTCGAGATCGGTCACCGCTTACGGCCGCATCGTTGCCTCAACTATACATCGAGAAACTGATTGCATACTCACAGACCTGGTTATGTGGTCGAGTATTCGACGACGCGGGAAGTGCGTTCATCGTCGGCTGTGTCGCAAGATATGACAAGAAGAAGGCTCTATTTCAGGTTCATTGGTTACTCAATTCCAGAAAGCCGACAAGTGGATAAGTATGAGTCTTGTAAAGTCAGGGATGGGGAACTACAACTTGTGGTGGGTTCTCCGACTAAACCTGGTTGGAGATCACTTTGTCAACTTGACAACACGGAGATCAGTATTGGAGAGAACGACAGTGACCTGGAAGAAGTTGATGAGGATCGGTATGAATCTTACAATCCCTAAGTAGTAATTCCATCTTCGATGCGGGAGGTGGAGAGCATTAGGAACATGAATTTTGAGCCCCGCTGCACAGATTGTTGGTCCTTCGGATTTGTACCAGCACCCAAATACTACCATAAAGACTCGCATTCAGCCTCAATTTCGATATTTGCTCGAGCACTCTGCAACGGCTAGTTTTTTTTTGCGTATATACCGGTCTACTACTGGGTCGAAGTGTTACAGCAGACAAACAAGGCGATGACTGAGTACCAAATGGCACGGGCGCCTCGTCCAAGCAAGCCGCTTGCGTTGCAGAAGCTGATGACATTTTTAGAAATACTGTACTTGATGAAGCTGGTGGATAGAGGTGAATACGCAAATTTCTGGGGTGAGCAGTTTTGAAGACTCCGTTCTTGGTGGAAAACGCGGAGGGCTGGACTCGGTAATGTCTCTTAGTAGGTTCAAATTGATACGTCAGCATTTTTGCTTTCGTCACTCTCCAAATCCAGCTGCAACAAGTCGGTCAGCTGCGAGAGCTATTCAATTCTGGATACATCCGCATCTGAAGTTGGTAGTGGTGGTCTACCACCAGCAACAACGCAGCTGAGCAGCTATCAACTCCTCTACCTGATGCAGTCTTGCTTCTGGGCACTGCTCACGTTGACGAGGTGGTTCAATCTCAACACAACCAGGATAAAGAGACATCAGCTGCAGAAGTACAGCACATCGACCCTGTCAGAAGAATTCGTACGCTTTTGAGTATGTTGATAATTACCGGAGGGAAATATGTCGATATTGGACGAGATGTATCTCTGGACAAGGCGAGCGTGGCTTCTAGGACAAAGTTAGGCTGCCTGTTGATAATGTACAATCCTATGAAGCTCGGTGGAAAGTATCATTTCCGTATATATATTCTGCTGTGCGTCGTTGGGGATTGTTATAAAATTTCGCGTCCATTGTGCAAGTGATTTATCAGAGCGCCTGCAGGGCGTGGTCACCCCAGAAGAAATTGCAGATTTACGACAAGAACTAGACGAACTATCTGTGAATCGAGGGCAAGTCATGGAGGTGATGCGGCCTCTTTACCATACCAACCGCGCGATAACTGCCGAAAACAACGACGTGTCTGTACAACTACTTGCTGCGTTGCCGGTAAAGGGCGTATGCTGTATGGCAGGGGAAAATTTCTAAGAATAGTTTGCACTTACCTCACCATGTCGTCCTAAAAAAGACCGAGTGCCGTCGTGGGCAGTACCGGCAAGGTGTGTCGGTGGCACACGGTATGATTTTTGTGTCATATTCGATAGCGCCGTGGTGAAGATGGTCTCGAATGCAGATAAATCGACCGAAACTGTGTTGACACGGCGCGTTGGCGTCAAACTGCAACCTTTTGAGGCGTCAGTATGTGTCGGGCATTATAACACGAATATGCAGGGAGTCGATAGACTCGACCAGCTGCGCGGGCGATTTTCGATAGCTGACGGACATTCTTTCAGAAAATGGTACAAGAAACTTGGGATGGCAATCGTGGATGTTGCTTGTGTAAACGCGTACATGTCGAGACGGTTGAATATTAATATGACAAAAGAAAGAGACCCTCTTCGCTCCTTTATCACACAGCTTGCTCAAGAGTTGAAAAAAAGATTTGAAATCAGGAAATGGATGGAGGCTCCAAGCGACAGCAGAATGTTTTACTCAGCAAGGGGCGACGATGCAGAAGCTAATACAGTTGAGGCCCCTGTATTGTGGTGGCGTGGGGTGGGAGCAGCTCCAGTAAAAAGCAGCCCGCAAAAAAACTGTGTTGCTGTGAGCTCCAAACAGGTTTTCGACAAACAAAAGCGACGGTGTCATTGCGTGGTATGCCGATGGGAGGGTCGCCTTCCTACAATTGCTACAGGTCATTGAACCTTGCACGGCGTAAGCTTATGCCAAATCGTACACACAACAGCAGCAAAACAGTACCTTTGTCTGTGGACCTGCTGGGAGAAGTACCACATGTTTTACCTTGCTCAAAAACTATTCTTCAACAAAGGCAATCTGAGAAAGGCGTTTTTATTGGTCCAGCAGCGAAAAGAAGAGGAAGAATGCACAAAAACATCTCAAGACACCGCGAACCAGGAAGGCCAAATTGCTATTGTCTAGGAGAGTATATGGGAACATGAACAGCGTTTATTTTACTTCCGCTCAGTGTACAGATATGCTAAGACGAGAGTCGCAGTCCAGCTCACTTTCAACTTAGCAATATTTTCCAGCTTCCATCGAGTACAGAAAACATATGAGCACGTGGAGCTGTGGCGGGGACAAACCTTGCTGGTGAAGACGACCAGCCATGCATCAGTCAGAAAGAGCAGCTCATTTGTGATGTGGAGTGGAAGGCTCGAATCGTAAATTGTTCGCGAGAAGTATTGTTGCGCTGGAGAATGGGTACGTCAGCAAAAGATCGATTTGGTTCACATCTTCTGCATATACCTCCACGTTTTGTAGTTTCGCCCACTCTGCTACGTGGTCAACTAATACAGCGTTGCAGCGATCTACCAAAACACGCCGTATCTCTATGCCAATGCTGACGCGGACTTTGGTCGAAAGAGCAAAAAGAGCTATCACATTTCCAACACCAGATCCGATATCCATAAAAACGTCGCGTGACTGAATTTGATTAATCCGCTGAATGGCTTTGATCAGCGCAGTAACCCCATCTGGAAGCAACTCTTCAAACAAAATGCTACTAACGCGCCTTTGAGAGTTATTGAGATAATCGCTCTCAAAGTTGACAGCTCAAAAATCGTACATAAGTGAGGTTATGAGAAACGGACCAGTTTTCATTTTTAAAAATTTGAAGGAGGTGTATCGTCATTGAAGATTTCATTTACGAACTCACCAGCATCTATTCATGCCAGAGCAGCGTCAAGCCAGCGCGCCTGGCGAGGCTCCTGTGCAGGATGACACAAGCGCTTCGGCCCCCGCGCCTTCGTCTCCCGCCAGCGAGGATGAACCTGTCTGCGCCGTCGCTTTTGACGAGACTAGCGTCGATTTGGATGAAGGTGTGTGCCTTATCCGTCGGCAAGCGAGTCCTGTAAGAGTGACGACTACGAGGAAAGTAGCGATGAGAGCTTTTATGCCGCTTCTGATACAGTGGACAGCGCCGTTGAGTCGGCGTCGTCAGTGTCTACAGCTAGCGCTCCAAGTCAAAACGAAGAGGAAAACATAAGCAGCTTTTTGTTCGACGGCGATCTACATACACAAGTCACTAAGATTATCAACGCTGACAAGTGCCAGAATCATTGCGTATTAGGAAGGGCGAAAGAACTGGAGTCCTTAGTTGGGTCTCTCGACAATATGACAAAGGCAGAGCGGATGCAGAGTTTGTATACGTTGCTGGCACTGCTAATGGTTGCACCTACGTCCGAGCGCAAACGTGGCAAGGGCGTCCGCGAAAAGTTCCTCTACTTCCTGCCGTTTGTTGGTCAAGTTTACCGACCTATTCTTGCACTATGTTACGGAGTAGTGCCGATGATCACCAGCGTTGTAAAACACGCATCCGAGGCGGAAGCATTTCCGTCGCCACTCATGGCAACACGCAGAACAAGAACGCAGCAAAAGTGGACGTCGTGTGGTTGGTGAAGTGGTTTGAGCGATTTGCTGGGGGATTTGGCGAAGTGGTGCCTGTGAGAGTGCGAATGCAGAAGACCGTGGATGGCACGGTACGTAAGTATTACAGCAGCGAGAAGTACACCCTTTTGCCTGCCCACTTTGCGTGGAATGCAATCTACGACGAGATGCACGCGTTTGTTGCGTCAGGGCTCATGGCTCGCGAGCCAGCTCGTTCTACAATGCGAAAGCTGTTGACACTGCACTGCCCAACCATCAAAATCCGCTCCCCGCGATCAAACGTATGCGATGTCTGCTCAATTTACCTCTCAGCAATACGGGGCAACAATACGGCAGATAAGACAGAGGCGCTTGGGCGTCATACGGAGTCTGCGCGCCAAATAAGGTGAATTTGAATTTGGAGATAAGTAACATTTGGATTTTCTGCTAGCATTTTACCGTGGACATTGGTAACTTTTGATTTTGTCTTAGGCGAGAATACAAGCAAGACAGGCTGGCAGCAGACGGCGACCATGCAGTACTTGTGATGGACTTCTCGTAGAATCTTACAGTTCCAAGTGTTGCCAGTACGCCATCGCAATGGTACTTCTGCTCGCTGCTTTCGGTCAGCTGTTTCGGGATATTTTACGAGAACGAAGGTGTTCAAACGAACTACTTGTATGACGAAAGGACTAGTGGTAAGGGAAGCGACCATATCAACTCAATGTTGGATCCCTTTATCGGCAAACTGGCTGATTCGGGGAAGAAACGACTGACAGTTTACGCGGACAATTGTTCAGGTCAGAACAAAAACAACTTCGTCACTAAATTCTTCCTGGCTCAGGTCCACATGGGCCGTTTGCAGCACGTGAACTATAAGTTCTTCGTCAAGGGCCACACGAAGAACTCGTGCGACCGCGGCTTTGGGCATATTCGAAAGCATGTTGCGGGTATTGACATTAGGACGATGGATCACTTAGTAGACGCTGTTGGGGCAGCTGCGTCAAATGCAGCAACCGTATACGTGCCGGCGGGGGAAAAATTCTTGAAGGAATTTCAACTTTTCTCGATGGACAATGACAAACCCTGGGTAGTTTCCTGCCGAAAGAGCCCTGAGTCGGAGGTTGATGAAAGAGACTTGCGTAGGAAATTTGACGGCATCTTGACACCGAAAGAAAAGGTGATACGCATCCTGATCGACCACATTGAGTACCTCCCTCCTCCGGTACCAAACGCGGAAAAGATTGCTCAGCTCTATCAGTCAATTAGACCCTACGTTCCTGCTGAATTTAGCGACGTCCCTCTCTACGCGAAGCCGACTGCGCAACAAGGAGATGTTGCCAAAGCAAACAAGCAAGCCCGGCGTCTCCACCGTGCTGCAATGGTAATAGCTGCAAAAAAACACGAAGATCAACGAGGAAGAGGGGAAGTTGAAGACCATCCCGAGCCATCGCCCGAAAACCCAACTCCAGCTACAACTACAAATAAGACGAAGGGAAAAGCTGGTCCCGTACTGTCCAATCGAGGGGCAAAGAGCCGAAAAACTGCTGAGGGGTAATGAGGGAAGTCTCGTGGCAACCTCCACAAAGTTAGTTGAAAATGTTGCTAATGTCCTGTGAGCATTTTGACAAAACAAAATGTCACTAATGTCCAACAGTCTAAATTCAGAGAAAAAGTCAAAATATACCTCCGAAGATTTTAACCCACTCCACTCTATCGCAATTTTATCATCGCAGAGTGCGATTAAGCGCACAAGACTGCCACTAATCGATTCCTCGCTAATTTTTACGTCTTGTACAACATCAAAAAAATTGTCATTTCATGTTCGACATCGAGATAATTGTTTTGATGACCTCGTTCTCAACCCCACCTGCACCAAATTGGATGTATGAGAGCTTTATGGATAGATAAGACGTCCATCTATCGAGTGGTAGTCTTAAATCGCGATTCGTACTTAGGTTCATTAGTTACAATTCGTTTGACGCAGTCTCAAATGATAAAAGTGAGGAGCCAGACTCACTTATTGACCAATCAGGTGTAGACATGTGTTTGAGTGGCTCACACGAGACCAGGGGTAGCCGCCCTGGTCCTAAATAAATCAGAGTTGAATTTGACACAAACGAAAGACTTGGTTTTACTATTGCGGCTTCCTCCACACTATAGTGTAAGCTAGTGGCGGTAAATCTTACCCCGTTACACCTGGTAGCACTTTGTAGTCCTTCCAACGACCAAGTCAACGATGAGCCAAGTCCAGATCTCCGGGGCGACCCTGGGGCATGCTGCGTTCCCCCCGTCTCGCTCGCGTGGAGTGGGAAGCGCTTCACCGCCTCGTGGCGGTGTCCGGAGATGCCGTTGTCGCATCGCTGCTGAGCTCAGCGACGCCCGACCAGCAACGTCTTGCAGCACAAGCGTTCATGGAACGCGAGCTCGCCGATGCGAATCGGCGGGTGTCAACTCCCTCGCGTCCATCCCAGAATGACGTCGTCAAGTTGGAGACGTCTACGTATTCTGACGCCGGCAAAAACCGGCTCCCGCTAAACCGGTGGTTCGGCAAGATCAACATCGCTATCGCCTCGCGACGCATCGAGGCGTCATCCGCCAAGGTGAGCTTTCGCCTTTCCAGGTTAGCCGGGAAGGCCAAGGAATGGTCCCTTGAGAAGCTGGCTGTCGACCCCGAGGCTTTTCCAACTCTGGAAACTCTCCAGAACGACTTGCACCTCGCGTTCGAGCCCCGCAACATGAGTAACGCGCTCGTGCAGAGTTCTTCGCTCTTCGGCAAGTAAAGATGTCCATGCGTGATTACATCCAGAAGACGCGACATCTGGCATCATTCGTCATGACCTAGCCAATCGACATGGCCTCGCAAGTCCACGTATTTGTGTTCGGCATGCGCGAGAGTATGACCCGTTACTGCCTCACCAGAGCTGAGGCTTCCTCTCTCGAGGGGGCATTTGCACTCGCGATTCGCGAGGATTACATGGTCGCTGCATCGTACGCCGCAGCCATACCTGCGGAAGCCCGAGAGTCTACCCCGAGCCCATGAAGATCGACGCCATCAACGCGTCGATCGATCGACGTCGCGGGGCCTACCGCGGTAGCGCTGGGCGAAGCAATCGGCTCCCTCATTTAATTTCACTGTGGGAAGAAAGGTCACCGCGCGGCGGAGTGCCGCGCGCCAGCTCTCGTCGTCGCGCACACCGATGCGGAACATTCCTCGATCGCTCATTCAAAAAACGACCATGGCCAGTAGGGTGCGGGCACCCTACTGGCTTTAATGAAGGACCGGACCCTCCGGTGGCAGCCCAACCTTCGATCCCTCCCGTGCTCCAAGCGCACACCAATGCACCACTACGCCGGGCGACCCGAAACTGATCATCGTCCGCATCCACGTCGCCGGTGCCCGGCGACCACTGCGCGTGCTTCTTGACTCAGGAGCTACCAGTAACGGCTTTCGCGCGTCGTGTTTGTCGGTCTACCCAAGCACGTCCGCGTCCGGAATGGTCCGGGCGAGATTCAAGTCAAACTCACAGATGGTAAGGCTCGCCGCATTGCGCGGCGTGACGTGTCCTTGTCGTACACGTTCGACGGCTTCCGTAGCAAGGAAGACTTCTGGGTGATCGAGATGAATTATGCGTCTGACGTCATCCTGGGCATTCCTTGGCTTGCGCGATATCAGCCAGAGATTGACGGGCTGGCCCAATCGGTCAAGCGTCGACGTGGATTCGACGTGAGCGAGGTCTTCACACATCTCTTGGTGGCGCCAAGAGACTGGCCCCACGTCACAGTCGTGGACAAAATAGCAACGACGCAGGCAGTGCACAGAGAGAGCGATGGCCCTCTCTGCATGGCGTGTGCTACGTTGTTGGACGATGAGACCTCGCCGTATTGCAAGGTAGATGATGAAGTGGTCGAGCAGAGGCTTCCACAATACAAGACGGTGGTCGAGCAGGGGGACCCACAATACGAAACAGTGGTCAAGCCGCGTCTCTCACAACACGAGACGGTGGTCGAGCAGGGGCTCCCGCGTGCTCCCGGCCCGGTCGGGACGGTCCCCCGCGCCTCGGGGATGGTGATGCATTGTCGAGGAGCAGTGAGTCAGGCTCAAGCGTGAGCTCGAGGAAGCCGAAGAAGAAGTCGAAGAGACGACGCCTGAAGCCTCGTCGAGACTCCACGACCAGCGATAGCCCGCAGATGGTAGGCGCTCGAGTACGTGGAAGGAGGCCCAAGTCGGTCGCGCACTATCGCAGTCGCGAGTCCGCCGCGCGAAGCGGCGGCGATCACACGCCTTCCAGGCTTGACCTGGAAGAACTTTCTTCGGGACCGCTAAGCTGGAGACGTCGAGCAAGTGGGCTTGGTCGCCGAGGCAGTCTCGGGGGATGAGTCAGCAAATGCAGTCGCAACGGGTAGTGAACGTTCACGTCCGCAAGGTGCTGAACCTAAATCGGCTCGTGAGGAACGCTTCCAAACGCAGTCCTGGTAGGCCTTGCGGGAGTCAGCGAATCCCGTTTACGACACCGCCTGCGGGTTCGAAGACGTCTTTCCGGATGAGATCCCCGCCGAGCTACCGGCGGATCGTGGGGCTCAGCACGAGATCGACCTCGCGCCAGGTACGAAGTACTGCGTCACCAGACAATGGCCACTTCCCCGTGATCAAGTGAAAGCGATCGATGACTTCTTCGAGGGCCGCCGAAAGGCGAATCACGTGCGCGAGGGGACCTCGCCCCATTCAAGTCCAACGCTCTGTGTGAAGAAAGCTACAGGTGGCTGGCGCATTGTTCACGCAATCTACAATTTGAATGATGTCACCATCCCCGCGCAGACTCCGATCCCTCGGAAGGACATGGTACTGGACGCCATGGCTGGTACTGTTATCTACAGCGCTATCGACCTGAACGATGGATTCTACCAGATCCTGATGAGAGCATGTGATGTGCCTCTCACCGCCGTAAGAACACCGAGCGGGATGCGTTGGGATTGGCTCGTGATGCCACAGGATCTGAAGAACGCGCCTGCCACATTCAATCGCATGGTCTCCCATGCACTTCGTCCGCTCCGAGACTTCGCGCCGAGTTACTTCGACGGCATCTTCGTGCACAGCCGCACTGAGGACAGCCTCAGTGTCGTGGAAGTACATCTGAAACACCTGAGGCAAGTCTTCCAGGTGATGCGAGAGAACAAGCTCTACGCAAACCTGAATAAATGCGTCTTCTGTGCACCGGAGATTCCGGTGTTGGGATGCTACGTGAGCAAGAGCGGTGTGCGCGCGGACCTTGAGAAGGTCTCGTCTATCTGTGCTTGGCCAACGCCGACAAGCCCCACTGAGTTGCGCCAGTGGTTTGGCTTGGCCAATTACTTGCACAAGTGCACGAAGAATTACGCTGGGTTGATCCAACCGCTGCCCTCGCTGCTGAAGAAGGACGTGATCTGGGAGTCACCAAGCTGCATTCGACTCGGTGAAAAAGAGCTTGGCGTCTGCGCCGATCTTGAAGCTTGCTGATGACTCGAAGCCATTTCACGTCGTCTGTGACGCGAGCGATTTTGCCATCGGCTGTGCGCTGATGCAGCTCGATGATGACGAACATGAACGAGTTATCAGCTATCAGTCGCGACAATTGAGGCCAGCCGAGAAGAACTACCCAGTCCACGACAAGGAGCTCCTGGTAATGCGGTACGCTCGGATCAAATTCAGAGTGTACTTGCTCAGTGAACAGTCGTTTGCGGTTTACACTGATCACGCATCGCCGCGGACAGCGATGAAGAGCCCTCACTTGTCGCAACGAATGGCCCGTTGGCTGTCTTCTTCTCCGAGTACAGCTTCACTGTTCACTACAAGCCGGGCAAGAATAACATTCTCGCCGACGCGCTGTCTCGGCGCCCGGACAATGATCCCCGTGAAGTGCTAGGACATCAGGTGGCTGATGAGGACGACGACGAATGTGCGGTCTGCGTGTCGTCGGGCATCAAATTGACGCTGACCACGCCCACGCTCCCGCTGGGTGACGATATTGAAATAGCGTACGATGATGACCCTATATACGGTGACATCTTGAAACACCTGCGCGCTCCCAGTAGTGACATACTAAGTGCCCTGTCAAGGACCACGCGTAATTAGATCGATCTATATCGACTGGACGGCAATCTGCTGAAGTACAGCATCGTCAGGTTCGATGGACCTCGAGTCGTCGTCCCAAACGACGCTGATCCACGTGCGCGAATCATCCACGAGTGCCACGACGCCCCGACTGGAGGACATCTCGGTCGCGAGAAGACGTACGCGGCATTGTCAAGAGACTTCTATTGGCCACATATGCACAAGTGGGTACGCAAGTGGGTCCGCACATGTGAAACTTTCCTGCGAGTCAAACCGTCTTCGACGTCTCAGGCCCCATTGCGCCCTCTTCCAGTCACCACGGAAGCCTGGCGCTCCATATCGATGGACTTCATCTTCGGTCTTCCGCACGATACAGCCGGGTGCACAGGTGTACTTGTGTTCGTCGATCGTTTCAGCAAAATGGTCCATCTCGTTCCTGTGGCAGCCTCGATCACCGCGGAAGAGTCCGCTGCCCACTTTGTCGACGTGAGTTTTCGTCACCGTGGCCTGCCGGGGTCTATCGTATCCGACCGCGGCTCATCCGGAGTCGGATGGACAGACAGAGCGCGTCAACCGAGTCCTTGAAGACGTTCTCTGCAGCTACGCGACTTCGTACACGAGCTGGAGCTCGTTCCTGCCTCTAGCTGAACTCGCACTCAATAACGCCGAGCACTCCTCGACGGTCATGACGCCATTCTTTGTGAACCACGCTCGACACCCTCGTGTTCCGGCACTTCTCGCCGTGGGTCAACCCACGGATGCTGGCGGCTCCACCCTTGGTGGGGGAGGATCTCCTTTGGTCGTCATGGATGCTGAAGCTGCGATCAGTCCTGCAGACAACGAGCCCGTGTCGTGGTCCCCACCGGTACGCGAACCGGTGTCTCAGCGCGCACCGGTAACCTCGCCGGTCTCAACAGGTCTGTCAGCGACTTCAGAGTTATCTTCGGGCGTAGCCAGTGTGAGCGCCTTGGCCCGCTCCCCGTTCAAGCAAATCATTGAGCCTCATCGATGTACCGCATCTCCGATAACGAGATGGACATCGCAGAACTTGATCGATCCAGGCAGCAAGACTCGTGAGCAGGACGTTACCACGGTCAATTATACACCGAAACCCTCTGTGCTTCCAGCCCATCGCTCAGCTGTTGCAAAATTCGTCATGCAGAGACAATCCATCTCAAGGTTCGTCCGCGACGCACTGCAGAGCGCAGTGGGCAAGCAAAAGGAACAAGCAGATAAGCACGGTCGAAAGAACGTGAATGTATTCAGGACAGGAGACCGCGTTCTCCTTTCGACCGAGGGAATCCGCGCTTCTGCCGTAACCAACCTAACAAGCTTGCTCAACGCTTCATCGGTCCCTTCCGGGTAGCCAAGATTGTGGGTGGCTCCTACGCCCTGATCATCCCGTCGTCACTTAGACTCCACCCGACCTTTTACGTCGGGCGACTCAAGCGGTATTTCCCTGTGACGATTCCTGACACAAGCCGGCAGACGGAGAATGCGTCGGGCGACCAGCCCGACGAGCCTGACGCGCCAGAGACCCGTCAGTCCGCCAGGCACGATCTTCCGTCCGCTCAGTTCCAATATGATCGTCCAACGCACGGCTCGAAGCAGTCTCCACCTCGCCCTGGACGTACAAAGTGTTCGTCGTATCACCGTGAAGGTCCACCACCGATAAGTGACTCTGTGGGTGACGCGCGCTGGATTGTGGAGCGTATCGCTGGCCACGAAGATCCCCACAACTCGGCTGCTCAGCGTAACGTCAGTAGTCGTACTCCTCGCGCGGCCACGACCGCGCGCCGCTATCTGGTACGTTGGCTTGGTTATCCTCCAGACCATGATACGTGGAAGCCCCGCGCCAACCTTCTCCGCGACGTGTTGGACGCGGTCCACGAGTATGAGACCAAGCTGCTTGAGACGAAGAATTCCGCGGGCACGCGAATGACCCGTACGAGGAGGCGACAACGACGCCGGGCTCCGACGCGTGCAACGTCGACGCGAGCCGCGGCGGACACTGACACAGCTTGTCAGTGCAAGAATAAAAACATGAAACCACCGGTGACATCGAGCCGGTGACTAGTGGGCTGTCAATCCGACACGCTACGACTGCGCCAAAACGACTTCGATTACCAGCAGCGACACGGTGGTCAACAAGTACCTGTTTTGGTGACACCAGTGGTGACAACGTGATGCTCACTTGGGTTGATCAAGTGGTTGACTTCCGTCGACAAGTCTCATGTCTTCGAGATGTCCGAAGCCGCTCCGCACTAGCAGAAAAAAACACTCGCGTGTGCGTGAGTGGATCCGCCTGGTGGGAATCGAACCCTGGCGTCCTGACTAAAAAGCCCCATACATTGACCACTGCGCCATGAAGTCAGATTCGCGAGATTCCTCGTGTCCGTGATGCAAGTGCCTCAGGCTTGGAGTCATCTAAGTCGCATGTGCGCTGGGCGCTTCGTCGATGTGTGTCTTGGGAGGCGAGAGGCGCAGTGCCGGTCCTCGCAGTACATCTAGAGCTCGTGGTGCACCTGTCGATCCTGGGCTTGCCCTTGTTACCACCGCCAGCGTCGTGCTGGCGCCGCCGTCCTCGCGCTGTCTCCGATGTCTCCGCCTAAATCTGTTCCGTGCACTTACGTTGCGTAAGCGCAACTTAGAGAGGAGGGTGATGTAATGGGCCCAACTCCAATGACATAAGTAGGTAGATATTTCTTTAGTTATTACATAAGTAAGTAAAGTGGCACACGGGTAGCGCGTGCCAAGGTGGCATCATCTGATTGGTTAATAGTGAGGATCCAGACTCACTTATTGACCAATCAGGTGTAGACATGTGTTTGAGTGGCTCACACGAGGCCAGGGGTAGCCGCCCTCGTCCTAAATAAATCAGAGTCGAATTTGACACAAACCTAAGACTTGTTTTTACTATTGCGAGCTTCCTCCACACTATAGTGTAAGCTAGTGACGGTAAATTTTACCCCGTTACACCATCGAAGGACCGGTTGAGCTTGTAGACTCTCCAGTGCAGCCTACACTCGTTTCGCAATGCTCGTTTTCGATCTTACGGCTGGCCCGGTGAATTCCTCGTTTGGGTGCTTGAAGCACAGTTCTGTTCAGTGCTCAGGTTTCTCTAGCTCGTGGATGCCGAATGAGCTCAACATGCGCGCTCCTGCGACCGCGATCAGCACGAATGGGAGAAAAGAATGATGATAGATATCTTGTAAGGTCAGTGCCACAAGTACGTTTTAGAGAGTTCATTCGTTGCGCAAGCTCCACCGGATATCGCTTTCAGCGCTTCAACGCTTATGCGACCCTCTTCCACGGTATACGTCCGGTTCCTAGCTCCGCGTATTTTCGAGCTAGCTGTACCAGTTCTCTGTCCTCCTCGTCGAGGAACTTGGTGTTAAGCATCGGACATTTGCACTGTACAAAAGTGAGCCTCGTTATTGGAAATGTTCATGTGCAGATATCTTAGATGAACACAAAGCCGCCTCGGTTCGCTTCCCCCACTCGACAGCCACTGCCCCAAATTCTGGGCAACAACAATTCATCTTCGAAACACTTCCGAGCGCACACAGTCAAAAGCACCCCTCTCGATTGTTTCACATGTTTGCAGAGCCAAGCACTACGCTTACGTACTTGCAAGCCGGACTGAGGATAAAAAAATGCTATTATTCTAAATTTACTGGAGAGTGACACTAGGGACACAGGTTTTCCCATAAAGTACGAAAAAAGGAGCACGAATCCATATTAACCCTTTCGCGTCAAAGCGTGCTAGTCCGATTTGTACGTTGCTCAACCTCCAAGCCGAAAAGTACCACGGACTGACCGTCACAAAGCAGGGAAATCCATTTGAGTAAACCAGAATCGAAGGCGACCTGAAAATTACGATTATAGCCCCAGCACAATGCAGTAGATGAAATACCATATTGAATGTGCTGCAGGAATCGCCATTGAACTTCGAGACAGTTAGTGCTCCATGGTGAGAGATCTCGCCTTCTGCGTGTCAGAGGACAACGCGTCCCGGCCCTTCGATGAGCAATGTCGTTTTTCCAGTCCAACAATACTTTGTACCCTTTTATTCGAGCTTTCAATTTTTAGCTTGCCTGATCAATGCCATGTTGCAATAATAGAGTGCACACTTTCTATCAACTCGGACACCAATAATGGAGATGCTGCAAGGCGGTTCTGAGGAGTATGATGGCGACAACCGCTTTGACGAACACGAAGCGGAGATTGTTGCTGAAGTCGCGAGCTCCCGGTTGCCAGAGTCACCAAATGAGACCAAAGTGACTGACAACCCACCTTTTCGTTATCGCAAAGTTCGCTCTGCTGCCTCACGTTCGACCGGATTTGGTCGTAGTAACATTCTCGATGGTATTCCGAGACCGTATTCCGCGGCTGGGGCTGACGCGCTCTTGTCGAGTAGAGGTGGACAGAGCAAGAAGAAATCAGCAACTTCGATCAAAAAGACCGCAAGAGACAGCAAGACGCCACGTGAAGACCGTCCACGCTCAGCAGGAGTGAACGAATGGGGCGATTTCGATACAGATCGACTACTAAGAGACGACTTTGAAGAGCCTTTAAAGCGAATGCCACCCGATCCACAGGACAGACAACGCTCTAGATCGAGAAAGTGTCGACGATCGACTCCTGCGCCGTCTTTTCCGCCCTCAAGCCCACGGGAAGGCTATCTCACTTTCAGCAACGAAAGCAAGGAGGTTTCTAAGCCGACGATGCAAGTGCTTAAACAGAAGACGATAGAAACCCTCAATCTGGATCTTGTGGCACACACGAATCCACCTTCAAGCAGAGCAAACGCGCCACCAAAGCCCCTTCTGAGTCGAGCATCCATGGAGAGACTAATGTCGCCACATCCAGGACCAGCCACAAGCCACGTCCCCTCATCGACTCCTCTCTTTGGCACTGAAATCTCTAACACCCCAACAAACCGAGCGGCCATCTTCTGTCGGTTAACAGACCTGTGGTCGCTTATTTCACGTCGCGCTGATAATGAACTGGAGGCCGCAAATCTCCAGACAAAGTCCCCGCTTGAATGCAACACGGTTATGGTAAAAGTGTGCAAAACAGTGGGGATCTCGCTCACTTCTTCAGTGGCCACTCGCTTGTCGTTCTGGAACGCAAACGAGCAAGGAGTCGACTTTGATTCGTTTTGCGATCTAGTGATCCAATGCGCTATCCAGCCAGCTCTTCACCATTTCAACTTGGACAACTCCATCGCTGAGTACGTAGCTGCACTCGATCTAATCACACAAAGTCTCGTGGCCATGGAACCAGCTCGACGCTTGAAGCAACTTAACGAAATCCAGCCGGTTTTTATGAGTTGGAAAGCTGGCGTCACTCCTCGTTATGTTCAAGCTGTAGAGGGTACACCACCACAAACTTTGCTCACCGCTGAGAAGGTGCGAAGGGCTCTGGAAGCCTCAGCTAGTCAGCATATGCTCGCACATCAGCTCCCGTCTGAAGAAGCGCGCGTCACTCATGTTGCGAATATCCGTCGCAAAGTTCAGCTGTACAAGTCGTGGCAGTCTACTGATGAAAAAAAGGTCTCCAGGCCAGTGACTAATTTACTCCGTGGTGGGTTCATCTGTAGCGACGAACACCGACTTTCCACTTCAGAAGCTACTGATCTTGCCGAGATGCTAGACCGTGCATGCACAGTGTTCCCAGCGAGTGCGGGTGCTGAAGTTTTCCTAGGAGATGAAAGAGACCAAACGGAATTTTCAAATGAGATTTTTACCGACAAAGCGAATGACCCCGAAAAGGCAATTCGGTCGGAGAATGAAGAAGTTCTCGTGTGCGGTTCCTGTTCCATTCGACGTGCAGTGTTGTGGTGCTCGTCGTGCTTCACGGTAAATTGTCAGATGTGCTGGCAAGAAGTTCACTTTTGCACCGTTGACATGTCGAGCGTATCGTCAGAAACGTCAGCGAGGGAGCCACTACTAGGGCCCAGTGCGCTTGGTATCAAGACACGCAGTGAAAATGCCACACTGAGCCCGCCAGTGGCCATGATCTATTTGCCAACAAGAGCGATGAAGTCCGGGACACTGGCAAAAGGCGTTCGACACTTACGAAATATCTCCAATCAAGTAAATGCCATTAAAGGCGAAATTCCACTTGTTGTGGCTAACGCTATCTTGCCTTCTCTTCCTAAGAGTCGGTCAACTGGCACACTACCGCGACATTTTGAGCGCCCTCAGGTGGAAAGCACACCCGCTCGTGCAACAGATTCAGTAGCTTATTCGACGCTAGGCAATCAGACAAGTGGCTCGACGGAGCTCGCCAAGCGTCTGCAGAAACATCACTCTGGGTCCCGGTCAAAGCTCCACCTCGCTCCAGTATCGCTTGAGGCAGAATTGCTACTGTCAACTACACCAGATCGACGACGATAGCACAAGAGGCAACTTTGCTTCAACTTCGAAGTATCCATTTTCTGATTGGTTAAAATGGTTTTCATTTCCACAGTCGTCTCGAACATGGCAGATCTTGTCGTGGAGGCTGGCGCTGACGGCTCCTTCGACGCCAATTCTGCAGACACAGCCGAAGCTTTACGGCAACAAGGCAACGTAGCGTTCAAGCGGCGGCAATTCCGCGAAGCCAAGGAGCTTTACACGCAAGCCATTCATCTGCAAAATGGCAATCATTTGCTGTTTGGCAACCGATCGGCAACGTGCCACCAACTGAAGGAGTTCGAAGAAGCCCTCGAAGATGCGGAAAGGGCCATCGAGCTGTCGCCTAATTGGGCAAAAGGGTATCTGAGAAAAACAGCTGCGTGTGAGTCGCTGCAAGACTGGACCAAGGCAATTGCAGCGTACGAGCAACTTTTGCGTCTGGAAAGTGATAAATCGTCGACTGAAGCGAAAAGAGTGGCAGAGAGAGTGAAGGTCCTCAAACGGAAAAGCACCGAAAAGAAAGCAGTAAAGAAAGGTTTCCTTTCCGGCAAAGTGAAATCCTCGATTTACTCGGAAAAAGAGGGTACAGATCAAGATGCGACGCAGCGATCTTGGAGGTTGATGTTGAAAAAGTTGCTGGAGGGATGCAACAAGCGTGGCGTTAACAGTCGTGGCGAGAGTGTCGTGCTGGATGACGGAGTGTTTGCTAAGTTGCTGCAAGAAGACGAGTTCCAGCGACTTATTTACCCGGGAATACCAAAGGAGCAACTTGCCCATGCGCCGAAAAACTTGCAGACATTGCTGGAGGATCCGTGGTACGAACACGAGTTGCTGGCGCTGATGCCAAAAGTTGAAGCGAAAGCGGCAAGTGTGCTGGCCAATGTGAAGAAAAGAGGCGCCGAACAGGGAGACGCCATGGATCCGGCAACTGAGCGCATGCTCCTGCCACAGGTGTTGCAAGAAGCGTTTGGCAGAGAAGTACTGGCGATGGTGCATCGCGTGAATTATCAGAAACACGTGAAACTGGCAAATGATCTCAGATTAATTGCTGATCCGAACTCGGAGTTTGCCACTTGGGACCAATTGGACGACGACTTTCTTGACGAGTTACTCGCGGATAAACGCGATGTACGTGGCGTGGCCGTCATGGACGAGTTCATGGGCGAGGAGTGGACGCAACTGCTGCGTAACGACGTGTTTCGGATGGCCAAGAACGGACTTTTGATGTCTACGGTGCCTAACGTCGATGCCAAGCATGTTCTAAGTCGCGAAAATACTGGAAACGAATCAGAAATCTTGCCTGGAGCTAATATCCGCTTTGTGGAGCACCAAGACTGCTCGGCGGAATATCCTGCGCTGGCGGAGTTGATCGAAATGTTGCATGCTTTACCTTACGAGATCAACAAGAAGCGACCGGAAAAGGCCAAACTTTGTGCGCAATTTGTGCATTGCACTGCCATCCAGCAACTCCCGGTTGGACACCACCAACCTTTGCGCTTGGATTGCGGGACTGGGGACAAAGACAACAGCTTTAAGCTGACTTGTGTATACTTTTTCAATGCTGTTGACGCGTGTACAGCGGAGCAGAAACGGACGCGTCTGAAGCTGCGAACGAGTCTGAGCGAGAACGCTCCAGTGCGACAGATCGACCCACAGCCCGATCGACTCGTCATGTTCCGCAGCCAATCGGTGCTCAACGAGATCACTGCGGTACGAGAAGGTGAAGATCTCTTTTACATCACGTTCTGGATCCACGGCCAAAGTCTAGCGCAGGGAATCAGCACTTGGATGATCTAAACTATAGTGAATGTCGAGGGACTTAGTCAGCTCTGGTGACTCACCGTGGTGAGGTATACGCAGTGCCGTTTACGTGGTACGGTGCGAGCCCGTTGTACGTGCCAAAGCCGTTGGTGAGCTGTTTATGCGCTGCGTTTACCGGTACCGATGTCACCGTCGCACGTTGAGCCTGAAGCAGACGAAATATCAGAGCAATGTCATTTTATTGAGTCTACAGTTTTGGTCACCGAGTGGGTGATGACTTCCGCGCGAATGACGCGTCGTAGCGCTAAAAAGCCCTCCTCACGCGGACTCCCACCTTTCCCAGATGCGATTCCAGATGAGTTATCCTAAATTACTGACACACATAAATCCTTGCCCTCCATGAATCCACTCGAATTCGCTCTGGATCTTGGTGATGTTTAGTTGCGAGGGTCCAATAGCGCTGTGGTTGTGTAAGCAGAGAAACTTTTTTTAAAAGAACTGGACTGTTTGAACCAATGCGACTTTAAAAAGCTAGGTATTAGAAGTAGTATGGCCGACCAGCTTGAATTTGTCTACGTACCAGCGTGGCAACTCAACGTACGCGACAATGCGGTTGGGCCCTCGTTTTGGCTCTGGACAAAGGGCACAAGGATTTCATGGTGCCGACATGGAGCGAGGGCGATGATTATTACACACGATCTCAGGGGAAAGTGCGTTGACGTGAGTGTTATATTTCAATTAAAGTATTGTGCTTGGCGGGCTGCACGCGAAGCAGCGAAAAGCTTATTGTGTCCATTCACAAAGTCAAGTACATGTATGACTCAACTACAGATATTCCAAGCTGTACCCATGCGCACTAAGCGACAGTGATGGTGCCACTACTGAGCGCGATACGGCCGCCGTCTGTGAGCTGCACCACGCTCTGCAGCGATCCGAGCACTCGTCGCAGCGTCTCCAGTAGCTGTAGATTCACCAATAAAGTGCTCACGTGACCCGTGTGATCCACTACAAACGTGTGCGTGCCGGCGACGGCGGTGGTGCCGGTTACCAGCGGCAGGACCAGCTCCGGATCCACCTTGCCAGTCTTGAGACTCGGGAACAATCTGTCGATAGTCTGACGATGACAACGCAGATAGACCATCACCTCGACCTCCACCATGACGCACTGGTCGCCGACGTCATGCGTCTTCCAGATCTGCGGCTCTAGTACAAACAGCGCAAAGTGCTGGTCGTACAGCCGCCACTGCTGAATGAAGGCGTCGACTCCACGCAGGTCGGTGCCCTCGACGTCTGTAGCTAAGATGGAGCGTAGGAAGCGCTCCTGCATACTCGACAAAGGCAGCGAGTAGCCGTTCTGGTACACACGGAAGAACTGCATGACAAGCGACCGTGCGTGGTCCTGTAGTGACCCGTCCGGACGTTGCAGCTGTTGTCGGCGTTGGGTCTCGGCGTTGGCCGCCGCCAGTTTGCGAAGCTGCAAGTCCCGGTACAGCTTGGCGATCTTGATTTCCAGAGCCTGTACATCGTGCTCGAGCGAGCAGATCTTCTGGTCACGCTTGGCACGGAGCTTTCGCTGGTACAGGCGGTCCTGCAGTCGCTTTTTCATGGCGCGAACGGCCCGCTTCTCGGTCATGTTGGTGGTGGCCAGAGCCTGCGCATTAGCAGCAGATTGCAGCTCCTGGAAGCAGCAGCCAGGCGTGGCAATGACAGCCATGTGCGGTTTTAAGCTGACGAACGCGTTACGTGTGTAGAGAACTTTGGAGAATGAGACCACAACACTGGCAAACGCCAAACGATCCGCTGGCTGAGTTTCCATGGAATGTGTCTGAGGAGCGTTTTTGCGGTAGTGGCACCGCCGTAATAGTAATATCTGTCACGCCCTGATCGCACACAATGTTTGCCATTTTGCTGTCGTGTCCGACGCGAATTGTCGAGCGTCTCGTGATTTTGCAGCGCCAAGTGGCTTGTTTAGTCGCACCTAATGTAAGTGATCTTGAAGGGGTCGTAGTGGCATCGAAGGATCTTCCTTCATTACGCTGACAACAGTGCTCTAACGAGGAGTTTTTACCCTGAGGCAGGCGAACCGTCGATTGAATAATGTGATGACAGTGCCAAATTAGCATAACCAGTTCAGTCGGTGAAACCGAATGCTCTCTCTCTCTCTCTCTCTCTCTCTCGACACATGGAGCTGGCGCGATGTGTCTTTACAAATTCTTTCTTTCAATACGGTTTCGTTTACTGCATGCGTCTGGGACCTGGCCGCAGACTTTGCTGGTGGAGCGAACAAGCTCTTCTCCTGAGACGCAAACACGCTGCTCTCATGGTTCGTAGTAAGAAAAAGAAAAGGGTTTCTTACTACGCAGGCAAGAAGACTTCTTACTACGCCCGCATGCTCGCAGTTGTGAAGGGATGCTTGAGCAGAGAGAAAGACGGAGGTGCTGTGTCCTGCTCGTAGTAAGAAAAGATTTGTTACTACGCTTGCAAACTTACCTTTTCAGAATATTTCTTCAATATAGTCGAAGTCGCCTACGCAGATTGCACGCTATATATCTTTGCGTAGCCGACTTCGAAAAATCGCTGGCGGCTAATAAATTTGGCCCCCTTTTAAATTTAATTGTAAATGTTCGATTTCGCACTTATAACTTTATAAAAGTTGATTTTTTTTACCCTACAGGAATCCTGTCAGGATCACCATGACGGCGCCAGCCCCTGCAGCGTTGCAGGCTCGTGTGCACAAGCTGCTAGGTTCCCGTGCGGAGCTGGAGGCCACCAAGGCACTTCTACGGACACTCGTGACGGATAAGTCCTCACCTAGCGCGTCACTCGTGCAGCTGGATGCGTCGGAGACGCCTACTCTCGCGACTCTCCGTCGCAATTTACGCTCAAGTCTGGAACATCAACAATTGGCGCTAGCTCAGAAGGCTCTGGACGGTTTGGAGCGCACGTTAGAACAAGTTTCAAATCTGGCGAATCAGGTGGATGCGCTGGATACCAAATGTGACCATGTTCATAAATTCCTGGAGACTACCAAGAGGGAGACGCAACAGGTGCAAACGGAGGCAGCGGCATTGGCGACCAAAAGGTATGAACAGTTCTACATTTAGAATCTGGAAAATTTAATGCTAAAGTTTTCTGTTTCATAAAATGTGTAGAGACAAAGTGCAGGAGGCGTGGAAGGAGACCAAAACGTTTCTAGACCGCTATCAATTGACGGAGGAGGAGGTACGTGTGCTGTATACAGAGAATCTGGCAGACGAAGACATGGACGCGTTCTTCAGTACATTGGAGCGAGTCCGACAAGTCAAAGCGGACTGCAAGGAGCTGGTAGCCACAGGAGAAGTCAACTGCGCTCTGGAGCTGCTAGACGCCGTGGGCAAGTGCCAAGAAGCTGGCTTTGAGAGACTGTACCAGTGGACCGCGAAGAAGTGCGCTGAAGTGGATGGAGAGCCCAGCAACCTGCTGCATCGAGCAATTGCTCTCTTAAGTGACCGCGCCGAGTTCTACAAGTACGTAGACTTATAGAGCGAAGTCTGGGCTGGACAAAGTACTAACGATGTTTGCTGTCGTAGCTACTGCAAGGAAAGTCTGACTGCATCGCGACGGTCGCTCATTGTGCGGCGCTTTATCATGGCGCTGACTGTGGGAGGCCCGAATGGCATCCCGAGACCAATTGAAATGCACGCACATGACCCTGTTCGCTACTGCGGCGACATGTTGGCGTGGGTGCATCAGGCTATTGCGACCGAAAGCGAGTTCTTCCGTGTGCTATTCGATGGTGACGTCGAGTTCAGTCCTTCGTCCGAGACTTCTACTACCGGCTCGGTCGAAGGAGACAACAGCGCTTTACCTGCTAAGACCGAAAGCGTCTGCGCCTCCATGGTCGGACGTGCGTTTGACGGTGTAGCGAGACCGCTGCAGGTGCGTGTGGAGCAGACGCTGAGCTCTCCACACGGCATCGTCATCGCCTACAAGTTGGTGCACCTGCTGGCGTTCTACCACCACAAGTTCGACCAACTTGTCGCTCACTCGGACGTCGCCCGGGCACTGCGTCACTGCCGTGACGCTGCAAACGAAGCATTCCATCGCCAATTCCAGCAACTCGTGGACGCCGTCGCAGCCTCAGCTCAAAACTACGCGGCAAGTCTGGCAGCTACACACGTCACACTTGACGTCTCGCACCGTTTGGTGGCACTACTCGAAGTGTTTCAGACTTCGCTCTTGCCGGAACAAGAGAAGGAAGCCGATCTAGCGCCACTCTTCGACGGCATTCTACCGGCATTGGAGCTCATGTGCCAGCGCAGCGTCGCAGCTCTCGATCCGGTGGACGCGTTGGTGTTCCGGATCAACAACTTCAGCTGTCTACAAGCCCCTCTGGCTCGGTTTCCCGAAGTGAACAAGTGGTATTCTGAAATGGGTCTAGATTTAGAACGTTGGCTGCGGGATCTGAGCGAGTTACAGGTCACGCGCGTGTTGGATCGATGTCGCGTGTCGACATTGTTGCAACATATTCAGAACTTCCAGCAGAGTCACGCTACAAACCCCAGCACTTCGCCCACAGACACGCCAGGTCTAGACGGCGAGACGGTCACGCGAGTCATGGGAGACTTCTGCGCGGCGCTCATGACGCTCATGTTCCCGCAGCTCGACAGTCTGGCACAGCCGGCACTCGCAGACAAGGCCCGGACGCTCACGTCGGCGACACTTGCCGGCACCTACGCGTTCGTCTACGAGTTCGTGTTCGACGCGAGACATGGCTACATCCCTGGCAATGATCCTACGTCGTCGTCGTCCTGGTCCACAGCGGAGCGGAGTCGTCGTGTCGCCCTGCAACATTCACCTGAAGAAATCCGTACCGTGCTGGAACTCGACTCCAAGTAAAAACTGGTCGATTCAAATTTAGAAATGTGAAGTTTCGAAGCTGTGAAATTTGCCTCATCTGGAAATTTTCACGTTGAGAAGCGTATCTTTTGGCGAATCGTCGCAGATTTGTGTGCTGATGGTAATATTGTCCGTTGCCAAGGTGAAGGAGGTGACGGCGCGTGCATTCGAGGAGCTGCAGCTCCCAATTGGGGCGTCAGAGGAGCAGGTTGTCTCTCGCTTTCGAACTGTCTGTCTGAATCGAGTCTTGAGTCCCGTTCCAACGGACATCAGCGAGTCTGTAGCCCCCTACGAGTCTGCAGTCAAGATCAACGCTACTGAGAACGGAGACGAACGCTTCCAGCGTCAAGCTGTGGCCTATCGCTTCTTGTGTTCATTACCGCTGCTCGCAGGCGTCGAGTACCGCGCGGAAGATCTGCTCCCGAAGCTGAGACCGCTAGATCCTCACGTTAATGACATCGAGACAAAGCAACGTGCTAGTGCCCTGCTGGACGTGAGTATCGCGTCCATGGAGCGAGCTCAGCAAGCCGGTCGACTCCCCTATACGAACTTCGTACTGCGTGTGCACTACTGTCTTCGTCGCCATGTAGTTCGTCGTAGATACAGTGAGTTCCTAGCGCTCCATTCCTTACTGGAAGCCAAGCTACCGGTGATCCCTCAACTCCCGGAGCGTAACTGGATCTACGCCTTACGGACGCCGTCAGCTGAACGTGCTCGTAGACTGGCCAGCTACCTACAGAGAGTGACAACTCTGCTATCTGCTCGTGGGGTCTTCTCCTTCCAAGTGATGGCATTTCTCGAGATCGACGTGACTCGCGTCCGCGCAGAAGAAGAAGCTCTAGCGGTCGATATCCTGTCTCGAGCCAGTAGAAGTGAGAATGTCTATTACATCGTACACAGCAGCTGGATCGCAGCGTGGAAGCGGTTCGTCGTGACGCACAAACTGCCGCCAGGAGCCATCACGAACCACAATCTACTGGAACTAACCGAGGCATCTCGTCGGCCTAAGGACGATCTGGTGGCAGCTAGACACTACCGATGTGTGAACAGCAGCACGTGGAGATACTGGCAGCTCATCTACAGCGGTGGACCTGCCATTCGTCGTCAAACGGCGTCGATTTACGGCCAACCAGCGTGCGATCTGCCCACTCTAGCCACTTTAGTTCAGCGTCTTGTACGTGGCTTTCTAGCCAGGAGAGCCATGCAACGAGCGAGGATCCAACGGAAACTGCAAGACCCTATAACATGCCAAACAGTAGCAGCTACAGCACGTTATCGGGCGCTAGAGGCTCGACTTGACATCGTGCGGCAGTACGTGGAAGTACGCGAGTTTCAGACGCGTCACGTGGCTGCGATGAAGATACAACGAGCCTTCCGCGTCTTCCTGCTACGTGCCGAGCATGCGCTGCTACTGGCCGAGTCCGCAGTACCCGATAGTGCCGCAACACAAGCCCTTCAGCACTACGACGACCGACTGGCACTGGAGGAAGTGGCGTTAGTGGAGGACCCAGCACTGCGTCTGGCCCATTTCCTAGCGACCATGTTGGCTGGTGTGCCGCTACGGAAACTCCGTGCGAGGAGCAAAACGCCCGCCTGGAGGCTGTTTAAGCTGGACTCGATCGCCTCTGAGTTGCGGTGGAGCTCGTCAACATCCACGAAGACCAACGCGATGCCCTTCACAGACGTCGAGAAGCTGACGATGGAGTCGCCTTTGGCTCGAAAGGGGCCGAGTCTGGCGAGACGCATGAGTTTATCCATGGGGGCGGAGGATACTACAGCAGCAGCAGCGGATACGTCTTATGCTGTAGTGGCAACATACCGAGAAGGCGGCGTTAAACGCGAGTTGATGCTCATCTGCGAGGCTCCTGGGGAGATGGAGGTGCTGCACTTTGGATTAAGCGCTTTAGTCTTGGAGGTCGCGTCACGGACAGCGAATGGTGCGACGTTTGTGGACGGCCACGGCATCATCCGGAAACGCGTGCCACATGCGAAGAAGCTCCTTCGCGAGGCTCACGAATTGCTTGAACAACGTCAGGATAAGATACCGGATAACGAAAACTAATGCTGTTTTATCCTGCTTTACTATCCTGCTTTAAACCGCGTAACTCGGTTCGTGTCGACCATGTGGTTAGCGTCGATGACAGGTTTACGACGCGGCTTGCCGTCTTCGTCCGTGGCAGGGTGATGCAGTCGCAGACGCCCGTTAACGACCAGCAGCGGGTTAGCTCCGTCCAACACGGTTGGGCTCACGGAGATGCCGGCGAGATACTGCTGTAAGATGGTCTGAAGTTCTCGGTTCTCGTTGGCAACGCGTTCTTTTTCTCGACGCAGGGCCAACTCGTCCAGCAGCACCTTGTTGTGTCTCTTCCAGAAGAGATCGAGGTATTCCCACTCGCTCACAGCGACGCCGTTCTGCAGTCCTTGTGGCTGGAAGTCGAGCATTTGCAGCGCTTCTTCGTCCTCACGACCGGTTTCTGTACGCATCGCTAGTCGTACAGTTTCTGTAAGTTCGTTCGCTTCCTGTTCGTCGGCCAACGTCGACTGGTAAAACGGAAGCACGCGCTCTCGCTCCGTCTCCAGTTTGCGTACAAGTTCTCCAAGCTGCAGGATCCGCTCGCTCAGCTGCAAATGAGCGTCCAGTTTCTTGGAGGCTTCGCGAGCTCCGTGCGATAGCCCTGCGAGTCGACGTCGCTGGTCGTCCCGCATGCGGTTCATTTTGGCTTTGAGCGTCTGGAAATGATGCGAGATCGCCGCTTTCTCCTCTTCTAGCGCCTTGTTACGCTCCGAGCACTCGCGTACATTTTGAGCGATCTTGGTCCTCCAGAGCGCCAGACTCTGTTGCAGACGCTCAATCTTGCGGATCTTCAGCTCGATATCACGGGACAGATCCTGGTCCTTCGCCGTCAGGTACTTGAAGTCCTGTGTGCGCTGATCTGTGTTCTGCAGGTAGTTGAGATGCGCCGTCTCGAAGTGTTGCTCTAGCTCCTCAATGCTACTGTCCAAGGTGATCCGCAACACGTTGATGTCTTCCAGATTCTTGTTCCGGATCTCCTCTCGAAGCTGTTCGTGCTCCTGCTTGGCGTCGGCCTCACGCTCCTTCTCCTGCTGATCTACCGCCTGCATGATGCGCTGCAGCTCGTTACGCTCCATGGTGTGCTGAGCGATGAGTTTGTTCTTCTCCGTCTGGAACTCTAGCTCCAGCTCTCGTAGATCGGCTTCAAACTCTTTCTCTAGACCTAATAGACGCTCATCTTGCAGGTCGATCAGCTCGTCGACGTTGAGGAGGTGGGCCCGCAGAGCCATCTGGAACTGCTCCTCGGCTTCCTCCAAGTCGCGATCGAGCATCTGGATGAGCGCGTCTTTGCGATCCACGTCGCGCTCGTGATTCTGAGACCGCACCTCGACCTCTTTACGCAGCGCCTCCACCTTGACAAGCCTCATGATTTTCCGCCAATGGTTCTGGATCTTGAGCTTGTTCATACGAGAGATCTTCTCCTCTTTAGCCATGAACTCCTGCAGTAGGGCCTTCTTGGACACCGTGAGGCGCTTCAAGTAGTCGTTCATCTCCATCCGTCGAATCGACTCCTGCAGTCTCCGTTCTTCCTCTGTCGTCTCACGACCGTCCTTCTTGCCTTTGCCATCCTTGCTTCGTCCCTTGACGGCTTTACCGAGCTGTGCACCGCCACGAAGCTTAAGACTTACATGGAAAAGAGCGGGGAGCTCGTGCTCTCGACGGGGATTGTTACGGAGGCTTTTTCGACGAGGCATCGCGGGTAAGGTGTCAGCTTCTTGGCAGGCAGGCGTCTAGGCCAGATATACTTAGCTGGTCGTCGGGGAAACGGATAACGTTTTGCTAATTCGAGTTGCGTCTACCTAAGGCACAGCAAACTCTCGTAGTTTTAATCGTCAAAGGCATTTTAATTCACTCCTTACCACGGGATCGGAAGTGGCTTTACGACCTTCGTTGGGTCGTTGTACTGAGCCGAAAATCTAATGGTCACGCCGCTAATGCGCTCGAATGATCCCTACAGAGCAGCTTCGTCCTCACAAAGGACAACAATCTACACCGCTGAGGCAATCATTGCAGGCCTCCTGGCTGGGATCCAAGGCTTATAGAAAACGTGCTCATGTATTTGATTTGTACTGTACTTCAACGTCGACTTTTATTTCATTGGCTGCTATAGTTGAAGTGCTTATTATTTCCCTTGGGACTGCCCAGCGCCCCCGATGATCGCATAACAATTCCGGCAGTCCATCTCTGCTGTCACGATAAAAACAGAGAGTCTACATTGTAGACTCTCTGTAAACTCTACATGTACTGCTCGACTGGCCAGAAAGATCTAGAAACGACGGTTTCCATCTGTACATAGGCTAAAAATTGGCCAGCACCAGTCGTACAAACTGCGGCCAAAACGCTTGGCTCGTCGAGGCCCAGTGGGCCGCCCACCCCACTCACGGTGAGTCTCATCACGTGCGGAATGTTTGGCCTGCCTCACTTTACGGATGCTGACTGCGACACTCGTGGTATTTTTCATTTCACGCTGGGACCGAACAACGCCGTTCGTCTCCGGTTCGTCATAAATAGTAGGTACCTCGCGCTTGCCCGTTACGACTAAGCACTTCTGTAGCGAACAACTTCAACGCCTTGTGGCCAGAGAGTTTGGCCTCGAATGCTTTAGCTACAACGACTCACCTAGTTGATCGAGTCAGGCATCGTCGGGAGCCTCCTAGTCGAGCTGCAAGAGTTCAGCGGTGCTGTGTCGAGTTCGAAAAGCGGCGGCCTCGTTTAACGTGTTAGGGCGTTTGCTGTTTGACCAAAGTGCAACGGCGCAGCAGAAACACGTGACGCTGGACTATCGACGCGCTCCAACGAATCCATATATGAGACTCGGCTCCAGTCGCTGTCGCCAACACGACCGCACCCTTTCCGCCAATTTCCGCTACGGTATCCGCGGTGAAAGCGTTTGCACTGTGCGTTTAACTTTTTTCCCTTCCACCGGTGGCTTGAGGCCATCATTCCAAAAAAATCGCTGCGCACGTAACGCGCGTTTCGTCATCTTCATAACGCCCATGGCAGTCGTAGCCACGCCCGACTGTTGCTTCCAGGAGCTGCAATTAGCGCTTGCTCAGGCCAAAGTGCAGGTCCTAACCACCACCAATATGACCGAGAAGCGGACCGTGCGGGCCAAGAAGAAGCGTCTGCAGGACCGCCTGTACCAACGTAAGCACCGCGCCAAACGCGAATATAAGATCCGCTCGCTCGAGCACGACGTACAGTCGCTACAATCCAATATCGCGCGTCTGTACGTGGACCTGCATCATCGCAAAGCTGCAGCGGTCAGCGCCGAGACCCAACGACAGCAGCAACTGCAGCGTCCAGACGGGTCCCTGCAGGACCACGCACGGTCGCTTGTCATGCAGTTCTTCCGTGTGTACCAGAACGGCTACTCGCTGCCTTTGTCGAGTATGCAGGAGCACTTCCTACGCTCCATCTTAGCTACAGACGTCGAGGGCACCGACCTGCGTGGAGTCGACGCTTTCATTCAGCAGTGGCGGCTGTACGACCAGCACTTTGCGCTGTTTGTACTAGAGCCGCAGATCTGGAAGACGCATGACGTCGGCGACCAGTGCGTCATGGTGGAGGTCGAGGTGATGGTCTATCTGCGTTGTCATCGTCAGACTATCGACAGATTGTTCCCGAGTCTCAAGACTGGCAAGGTGGATCCGGAGCTGGTCCTGCCGCTGGTAACCGGCACCACCGCCGTCGCCGGCACGCACACGTTTGTAGTGGATCACACGGGTCACGTGAGCACTTTATTGGTGAATCTACAGCTACTGGAGACGCTGCGACGAGTGCTCGGATCGCTGCAGAGCGTGGTGCAGCTCACAGACGGCGTCCGCATCGCACTCGACAGCGGCACCATCACGGTTGCGTAGAGCACATGGATACAGCTCAGGTTATTTGTAGTAGAGTCACCCACACTCGTATCAACACGATAAGATTTTCGTTGCTTTGCGTGAGCTGTCAGTAGACAGCACTGCGATTGCAGGTCGCGAATGTTATATGTAGACGCAGCCTGGTAGTAAAACCTTATCCCACAAGTAGCCCTCACAAAGTTTAGGCAACTCGGTTCGCGGTATCTTCACCAAGATCATTGAAGTCGCGTCTTGTAATAAATTAGCGTCTAGCTCCACGTCGGGAAATAGGATGTCGCTGCGTCCAGAGTGAAAAATGAGGCGCGAGAGCACCCAACAGCGTACGTCGAGTGGCACGTAGGCAAATTCAAGCTGGTCGGCTCTCGGTTCGTCTGCTTCGGTGTACAGTACTTCCTGGAAGCTGAACTGCTTATGAAGCCTCTGTACGCAGGTGTACTGTATTTCTGAAGCCTACCGAGACTTTTCCAGAACGACAACGGACCGACTAGGAGCAATGATATTAGAAAAACATTACGACACGGCACTGGAGACGGCATAAATACAGGTGCTGCTCTATGAGAGCAGGAACTCTACGTTATGCCGAGGGTCAACGCGGGGCTTCATCTCGTCTGCGGGGGCTTCATCGACTTGGATTTGACCCGTAGACGACGAGATGTTTGCCCCCGAAAGTACCGTGGAGACGTCGGCCAGGCCGCCCAGCGCTTGCTGCAGCGCGCCCACAAGGTCCCATTCCGCGCTGAACCAGGTGATGATCCCGTTCGAATCGAACGTGAAGCGGTATTTGCCCTGGATGTTGATAATGCTACCCGACAGCTTCTGCGTGAGCCCCAGGTCGCCGTTGAGCGATGGGTAGAGCGTGATGATACCGTCTCGTCGCGCGCGGACGCTGAAGATGGAGTCGACCACGACAGCAGTGAGGTCACCGACAGTCGCAACGTCAATGGCGAGTGGGTCGTACCTCGTGTACGCGAAGAAGTTGCAGAATAGCCGCCACTGGGTGACGACGGTGTCCACACCCACATAGTCCGGGCCGACGGTCTCCGATGTCATCACGGCCCGTAGATACTGCTCCTGCTGGTCGATGCCATTCATCGAAGATGCACTATACTGGAACAGCCGGAAGTATTCCATGGCCACGCGAGCTGGCACACCGCCGGTCATCCCGCGCGACGCGAAAAAATTGTTTTCGATCAGGAGATTGTTGCGTTGGCGATTGAGCGTATCAACCTCAGCCGCCAGGCTCTGTACCTCGAGCTCGAGCGTGGACACCTTCTGCTTCTGCTTGGCGCGGTGACGCCGCTGGTGGAGCTTGTATTGGAGCCGGCGCCGTAGCACTTTTTCGTCAACGTCCTCGTCCCTGGCGGTGCCGGCACGGGCCTTGGCCTTACCGTTGGGGTTACCTGGCGTTTTAGTGGACGACGACGTGTTCTGACTCATACTGAACGTTGAGGAGTGTCCACCAGGTCGCGCGTGGCGGTTTTTGGCGGGTGCTTGTCTTCAAGCGCGTAGAGATTTCGGGGAGGCCGGTCCGTCCGCCGGCTGGCTTGCTCGATAGTGTGAGTCGGACAAGACAAGCGACGTGCAGAGACCAAGGAGATTTTAACCGACACGTGGGGGACGTGGGGAGGCCTGGCTGGCTGGCTTCGCAATCGCAAATGGTTTGCATAGAGCTGATGGCGCCCCCAGCAGCAACGCCGCGCAAATGTTGACAGAGGTGGACGTTTCGGATAGCCACATGGATTTTTGGTGGATGGGATCTCCTGACTCAGCGATTCCAAGTGAGTCAGGAGCGCGCGAACGCCATCGTCGCTTTTGCGGTTTGTACAGGTCTGTCTCGGCACGCGCAGCGAAAAACATGAGCAACAGGGTGAAGTTGTCCACGGTCGGCGTCGCCACCACTCACCTCAGTTGCGAAGACGGCGTGGTCACGGCAGGACCGCGGTGGCTGGACCTCCATCATGACTTTCGCAGCTCTGCACAAGTACATGTCGTTGAAGTCGTGCGATCGTGAGCTGCTCTCTGCGTGATTGCCAGCAGGACAGTCGCGCAGATAAACCTTGCAAGCAGCACGCTGCGTTACACAGCGTACACAGCCTGCCATAATGACACTTGGTTTCTGGTCGAGTTAACCCACTGGGTTAACTCGACCAGCAGCCAATGGCTAATCCCTGAAACGAAAGCAACCGGCAGTGTGACAGTTCGGCATCTGCTCGAATTTGTTCAAACAAGCACACACTGACGCGGCAGTCGACAAGTGTACCATGCTAGAGTAATCTCGGTGGGGGGAACCCGATCCACTCTTAAACAAGCAGCAGTCAACGGATGTGTCCGTCCGCTACTGTAGGAATTCGGTCTCCACCAAAAATTCGATGCACATCAAGAGCTCTCTGTGGCAACAAACGGCTCTCTTGCTTGGTGAAGGTGCGACTTGACTGCCGCCTCCGTTGTTTTTTTGTTTTTTTGTTTTTTTAGGCGAACTGACTCATCGCGACGATGGGAGTCAGCGTGGAGGCGCACACCAAACCGAAGTTGACCGAAATGTTACAAATGTGAGAGCGCGTGCCTTGCAAAGCGAGCCAGCACCAACAAAGACCGCCAATACAGTTCCTATGTGAGTCAAGAGCATATCCGCTGGGATACTGTGGGTGAGTCTTCCACGCGGGGCTTTGCTTCGGAAAAATGGCAAACTTTCCCTTTTTGGCAAAAAGGGAAAGTTTGCCATTTTTCATCGAGTGCAAAAAGTTTTTGCACTCGATGAGTCAGTGGCCGATACAGTACCGTACACACATAATTCGTCCATCTTTGAAGACGCCGCCAAACAAAATACTGTACGCCACTCAGGCACAGCCCCACTTGCCAACACTAAGAGGACCAGAACGCAAAGCACTCCGACGACGATGAAATTTTGCCAGCGGCTTTGCCATGCTGTACATGTACGGTTTCCCTAACCTTGTGGACTTCGTGCAAGCAGCATGGTCCCCTTGATAAAAGGGGCACACCGAATGACGAACGTACGAAGACCGGGCACTGCCTCCTTTCGGTGCGGTTTCTTGCGCACCGAAAGCGTCCGCCGTGAGATTCGTCGGTCCAACTTCAAAGTAAATGTACTTCTGTCTCGTCATCGCGCAGACGATTGCGCCCAAGTCGAAGCAAACAAAGTGTGTATTGTTCATGTAGTCAATGCCCTATATGTATCATGCATCGCAGCAGCTTCTGTTTGTTGCTAACAGGAGACTATTGCCAACAAGTTCACAGAGTTCGCCGACCCCTCCACACAACGCCCAGATCGTGCCTCGAGATCATTTCTGAGCGGATGGTGGAAGTACATACAGTACCGTGGCTGTGAGACGTATGGTCTTTGTAGCCGCGATGACGCCCGAGCAAGAGAGGCATGCAGGGCAGCGTGAGACCCGAAAATTTGCGGTTGTACAGTAGTAAATCATTTCACAAAGATAACATCTTTTTTAGCTCAGCTTGAATGCCCAACGGACTTTATTAGGAAAGCGTGGAGGCGTTTCCCTGACTCACTGGAGTCATTGACTCATTCAGAAGCCGCCACTGACCAGCAACAACTGGCCTGTTACACGGACTGTCGCGAATTTCCTGCTGGCTGCCAAACGAATTCTCTACGAGTCGACAGTTTTGCAGCTGGTTGCGGCTTCGCTCGCAATCCTCTCTCCATGCGATGGTGATCAATTAGTTGCAGTCCTCGGTTTAAATGACTCGAAACTTCCACTATTAACATTTTAGGTCTTTTTTATGTCATTTTTTGTAATACCCTCAAATTGTAGCGTCCTCAAGTTTTGTTGTAAAAACCCTTCAGTATTAATAGCTTTTACCAGGTACTTTTGTAAGTACCGGTAGTTAGCAAATTCGTGAGAACGAACAAAAGTCTTAGGTAAACTCGCTTATAAAAGGCAAGTGTAATAAACTTCGAGGGTCTCTCGTACAGAGGTACGTTTCCTAGTCCAACAGTAACGGCGCTGATCACAGCTTTTTCGATCCCTAACGAATTCGAGGCGCAGATTCATCTCGATTTCAGTAAGGACTACATGTACCAATAAAACCCAGCCCCATCGTCGATAGCGTGCGGCTATCCATTCTCAAAGATTGAGTCAAGCTCCCCACACAATTGGGACAGCATTCAACAACCGACAGCAGACCAGCACAACACGTTTGCCATTCGCGTCGCCTGGACTGTGAACACGTTCATTTCGCCTCTCACCGTCTCGGAGGAACATCGCCAGTCAACAACCCGCAAAACAACTAAAACGATGGCAGCAGTCGCCGGTGTTGTGGCTGTCGTGCACTCCTCCGCTCGTGGCAAACCGCCCTCTCGCCCCAAACGCCCACAAGAGGAAGACGCGGACGAAAAAGTGCTGCGTCGACGTCAACAGTACAAATTCCACCAGCGTCGCCACCGAGCCAAGCAAAAAGAGAAAATGGTCACGCTCACCCACGACATGCAGCACCTCCTGGCCGAGATCGAACAGCTCAACCACAAGCGGCAAAAGTTGCTTGTGAAAAGCAACTGCTTCAGCTCCCGAGGCACCGACACGGGAGTGCCTGCTCGCCTTACTATGGAATATTTCCGGCTCTTTGAGTACGGCATCTCGCCACACAAGTTGCCGCAACAGGAGCAGTTCCTTCGCTCCATTATGACCGCAGACACGGTCGGCCCGGACTACGCCGGCGTTGAAACTGTCATCATGCTCTGGAAGCGCTTCAGCGACTTCTTCGTCTATAGCCGGTACGAGCCCCTCTCCATGAATGTGTCCACCTTGGCGGACTCTACGGTCGTCGTCATGGACACAAACTTCCACATCAGCTGCCGTAAAGACGGTGTGCTGGCACTCTATCCGTCACTGCGTCATAACATGGATCTGTTACAAAAAGTCATTGGCGCTATGTTGGTGGTACCAGTCCAGTACCGCTTCGAGTTCGACGCCAATGGACTTGTGACGTGGTTTAGCGCCGACTGGGACCTCATTGGCGCCCTGAACGCCATCGTCTCGCTCGTGGACGCCGCGTGCATCCTCAGTGACGCCAACATCTCGAAAACTGGCCAGATACGCACCACCGTCGAGGACATTCCACAGAGTTGCGACGTCCAGAGCGACGCTGGTTCCCCCGTCCAACAGCCAGACGTAGACCCTCGTCATAGTGTTGACTTCTTGCTCTCGTAAAATTCAGAATATTCTGTATTTATCCTTCATTTCTTGGTTGACGCCTCTCCCATCATGCATCACTTTCTTCAAGTCCGACATGCATTTCCGTCTCTTCTCGAGGTTGTTGAGTCGTGGAGGTGCTAATCAAATCGCGTGTTCGAGCGCTAGTCAAGATGGGCAGCTTGGCTCCACCGCAATGGGGCACACCGCAAGAACCGACGTGAATGTACCACGTAGTATTGCACTGCAACAAAGACGCACCAAATATGAAAACCAGCTAGCTGGTGACGCGATATTGCTGGAAAATCACGTCGTATTCGGGGCACTTGTGGACAATATCTCTGGTCTCGTTCGGTGCGGAATTTATTCGGTGTTGTCGCAAAATATGGGGATAAATTACCAAACAAGAAAAACGGGGAATTTTACCCTGTTGCCACACAGCCGACGACCACCTTGATACAAATGCAAAGTCGGATTCGGTGGGAGCTACGACGAATTTGATCTCGAGAATTGGCTGATATTTCGACAAGAACCACAATTCCAGCCCTCGTGCTCTTGCCGCAGATGCTTTGCCTACCAACTTGGTCTCACGCAGATACTAACGAAATTGGTAAGCAGAGATGTCCCACACTGCTTCTCTACTATCGAAGATATCGATGCGGCTTTTAATCACAGCAACGTTGCGAAGGGTTTCGAATCGATTCGTTATGCGTTTCTGCGACCAAGTTCTGTGATTGGAAGTATTTGTTTGTGAGACGCACTTCGAATCAAGTGGCCATCTCCCTCAATACACTGCTGAAACTATGGAAAACTACTTACTGGAACGAACGTAAAGCGAAGAGACCTCGACGGTGATGGTTTGAAAAAGTTGCAAACATTGGACTGCTGCGTCTCCGCGAGTTTGACGCGTGCGATTTCCCTTTCCACAGCAGTGTGAAAAGATCCGAAAGGAAACGACGCACTGTAGACAAGATCGCCTCCGAGATTAACATTACCAGGGGGGGGGGCTAGATAAAGAATGGCGATTCATTTCTTCCAGTCGCTTTTGACGAAGATACTTTCAATGCAAAATACCAGCGGATCAGAAGCGGCGACTCCATTGAGGACATCACGACTCAACAGCGTTGAATCTGCTAGCGTGTTTTGAAGATCGAGGACAAGTCCTGTCGGTGGCAGTGCATGTTCGTAATGAAAGTATTAAAATACCGTTGGGCTCACTTCGTTTTTTTAATCATCACAAAGATACCTCGCAAAGTGTTTGGATACTAGCACTTATGCAGAAGCCAGCACTAGGTAAATTACTTCATCAAATTAAAGCAATTCACCCGCAGCGTTTCCGTGAACTTGTGCCAGGGAAATCGATAAGCTAATAAAAAATTAAAATTATTTTTATTGTTTCCCTGAATAATTTAAATACATTTATGTATGGATTTGGTGTACCTCCACAAACAAATATTTTCTCCCACACAGAGACAACCAACAGTTCGTAATTGGTTCTGAGCTCCACGACTTCTTAACAACACATACTCTACGTTATTCTGCAATTTGCACCGAACACAACGAGGTCTAGTCCCTCCTTTCCCATCTGTTCGTCTCTCCTATCACCCCAGACAGTGAAGCAAGTATTTTCGCTCCCTTACTGCCTGGATAAGGCGACATAACGGGTCTGCACACCTGCAAGGCGTGCGGGAAGATAAGAAAACACGTACCACAACTGGGTACTCCAATCTGATGTCCCACGTGCGTTTCTGACCCCCCCCCACCCACCACCTCTCACTCAGTGACTGAGAGGTGGTGGGTGGGGACTGAGAGTCTCAGTCACTTCGAGGTGGAAAAGGAGGCTGCCAGCACGGCTGCGGCCGGATGTCGCATTCCATAAGCTCACCAGAAGGCGTCTAATCGATACGTTGATCAACTGGATTGTGAGGGCAACGTTAATTTCGTGTCCGCTCAGATTGCGACGTACCAGAAGGTAAATCACAGTAAACTACGACCAGTTATTCAATAAACTTAGCTAAACTCTTATTTGTTGGGTATACCAACTTGGTGCCAGTGTGCAAGGAAACCATCCTTCACGACATGGAGCTCGTTATCAAGGCGGTGGAAAAACAAAAACAGAGAAGAGCCACCAGAAGACTTTGAAGCTGTTCTCAACGACTGAACGTTCGGCAGTGAGCTCTACATGGCGGTGTACGGCTGCTTTAAGCCCAATGACGTGCGCTGTTGTCCTCTTGTCTCCATGGCGTCAGTGATCCAGGAACAGGACAATTGTCATAGGCTGAAACTCATATGGCAGCGCTATCTCGTTTATACCACTTTTCGGTAAAACCCGTCTAAGGTAAAATTTCTAGTTGGTGATAATTGTGCACTAAACTAAGCTCTCCACCCGACTCATGGGGGTTCGGTTTGTCGGTTGGACCAGCCATTGGCCGCCGGCAGCGTTCTGTCTGTTGTACTCCTGTAAAATTACCTAACGTTTTTGACGCACTTATAAAAATTTCAAAAGAAGTTAATTTGCTTTTGACAGACATATTGTATTTCTACAAGCAAGCTATCCCAGAGTAAACCCTTCTCGACCCGAGAGATATTACAATGGAGGAAAACGGACGTCGCTAAAGACAACACGCCGCCGCTCAAATACGCGTAAGAGGTGACCGAATCTCCGCCAAAGACAACGCGAATCCCTTCAAAACCGCAGGATGCGCGGACAAGAGGAGGAACGCAAATGTGGTGATCATCAGGAAGCAACTCTTAGCAGAAAACATCATGAGCGTCTGAGTGAGCAGATGTTCACGCGAGAGCAAGATAGAGATAGCTGACCGAGCATTGCTACTCCGCCTTAACGCTCAGCACACACATAACCACTTAGCTTTTGTTGCGCGGGGTCGAAACAGCTGCGTCAACAGCGAGCAGCAAGTGTTGCAAACGAAGGATTAAGCGTGCCACGAGCTGCAAGCTCGAGCACAGCCTCCGAGAAGAGCAATTGCTTTGAGAGCAGCATGGTAACGATATATGGCAGCTCCAAACGGGAACGTGCACACCATCGAAAAGCAGGAAAGAGTACAGGACGAGCGACAGGAGCAAATATGGCTAGCATGTGAGCAGTGTGAGCTTGATCTAAGACAATAAAGCGTCGATTTACCTATCACAGCATACGACACGAACACTCTACAAAAAGGATTGCAAACCGAAGGTGTGGGCTTATTGGTCTACATCATTTGAGCCACTGTCTTCATTGCGCTCCCAGGCTTCTGCGTCCTCATGCTCTGGTTCAAGACAGTAGTTTCGATGACAACTATATATTTGAGTACGACGAGATACTAAGTACTGACATGGTTGAGGGTGCCCTTCGTGCTTGGATTCGCGGGTCTGACACGATCGAGCCTCTAGAATATTTAACCTATGGTTCGGAACGAGAGGTACTAGCGTATCCCTCGAATGATTTACGGATAATCAATACTTTTTAAGCACAATACAATATTTGGGGTGCCTTTCCTTCTGTCGACCCCAATAGCAAAATTGGACTAATCAGAGCGAGAAAACGTCGACATTGTGAAGAGCGGTATTTAATACAGTACATGTATCGTTATTTCGTTAAGCAACTTGACTAAGCAATCGATATTTGAAGTATTATTTCAAGTACTTACTGTCAAAACTAGCTAGTGACGCCATTCATAGTTGGCGTAGCCTCGATGCGCGTACACTTGGCTTGTGTACGCGCATCGAGGCTTCGGTCTCCAAGGGTTACCCTCCCGGGCGCGTCTCCAAGAATTAAAAGGGTCAACCATCCGAGCAGAATGTATCGTTAGATAATCTTCTATATTTCAGTAAGAAAAGTATATTTTGGGGTTTGGGAAGGGATATCCGTTTTTTTATACGAATTATATCTACGTCGAATCTCACTTCTAGAAGCCTCCGTGGCTTCTAAAAAGGTAGCTCAGATGCTCCTCTTTACTCATGTACGACGATCGCGGGTTCTTAGGTCGACGAGTTTTTGTTTGTTTGGAATTAACAAGAACCTCTTCAAAGACGCTACCGTCTTATATAAGGCATATGTGCTGTAAATGAATACAACACTGCTTGTGTGTTATATTCGTTTAGAAAGCCTATGTGTTGTACAACGAACAAATTGTTTGACTTTGAAGAAGCAAGTTTGTGGGTCCTGGAATCTGGCTTGGCCGTTTAGGCTTGACCCTCCTACGCGATCGGCGTGGGTTTAAACCCGCGTCACATGATGTTGTGATTGGTAGCGGGTCTTTTCTTTCTGTTGTGGCTGCGTTGTATACGGAGGTTTTACGCCTTTCCGATAGTCTGCTAGAGCAGCGAGTTTCATGGATACTATTGCTACGTCGCTCGGCACTCATGGCTGTGTAAATTATAAAATAGGAGAATTAAAGCCAAGTAACAGCAGCACCGACAAGTTTGTTCAGAAGGGTGGTTGGTTGGAAGCTCTCAAGAATATTCACTGTTTGGTACAGCCTTGTGTTTTAAGTAGGTTCAGCCACATGTGTTCTAGTTAGGTAGGTGGTCAAATCGAGGTTTAAGCTAGATGTCGAGCGCATCCCGTATTTTATTTAGGACACATATGCCTTATATGCGGGGTAAGACGGTAGTATTTTTTGCGGGGGCTTAAATATATAATACCACTCCAAATAAACTACCCTAGCGATTTTTTAGGGTATACCAATGGTATAGTATACCCATATCATTTAGTAAACCCGTTATTAGGTGCCGATAAATCGCAGATTTAGTGAAAGCACTCAATCGAGGCTAACTTACAAAAAGGGCTTCACCGGTTGGGTCAACATGCATCCACTACCACATAGAATATCATATATCATCCAGTATTTCAATAAGGAATTAATATTGAAGTGATTACACCAGCATTCAATTAGTCGTTTACATAAGATTTACGATCCCACATAGTCTGGATACTACATGTATCTTTATAAATTTCCAGAGAGGGCAGCGAACGGAGGAATTTATATGTATAGCCCCGTCGATTTAGCGTCTGAATAAGACGAAAAGGGTGGTGATAACAATACCTATCACCCGGCAACTTTTTCGTCAGGATTGGCATCCTTAGTTCAGAGCTTTAAATTCTCCTACATGTCACGCTGAAATCAAGCCGGAAGGAAAGAAACGGTTCTTGATTTCAGATTGTCGGCCGACACTTCACATTTGTCTACAGTTAGTTGATGCGGTCCAAGTTGTCTAGCGTTGGCAACATGACTGTGGATGCTCGACGAGAAAAACCGACCGCAAATAGACTACTACTGTAGAAGTACCCAACAGTACATTGAGAGTGGGCGCTTGGGCTTCTGAGATGGCAATTGTGGCCCCTATCACTCGGAATGGCAGGAGGTTCCACGTGCTGTGCCGCCTGTCCTGTGGTACACATCCGTTTCGGCATCTCTGCGTCAGACGGCACCAAGTGAGTTGTTTTCCTATCGTATGAATTCTATTTCGCAATTCGCTTTGTCTTCACCAGTCCGCGATCAACATGACTCGAGTCCTCGCTAAAGCAATTCTATTGGTGGCTCCCATCGCTTCTGCCACCATGGATACCTCAAACTACTTTGTGACGCCTGAGGCACCAGACTACAACAACAAGGTGGTAGCCAAACTCTTGGCCAACCTGAGCTCGCTACGCAACACTGGCGAGGCCTACGCAGTCTTCGACTGGGATAACACGTGCATGTTCGGAGATATTTCGTCCACTTCAATGTTCTACCAAGTCGACAATCTCAACTTCCGCTTCTCACCAGACGAGTTGGAGTCGATCTTCGCTCTTGGCTACAACGCCAGTAGTGGCGACTCTTGCTTTCCCAATGGCACATATTCAGTAATTGGTCAAGAGGTTAACGGGAGGGATGTGACGCTAGTCGAAGCTCTTGTCGATACCGCCAAAGACTATAGAGTGCTCTACGACGCTTACATTGCCCCCACCTACAACTTAACAAATGGTACTGCGGCAAGCACAACACTGCACGAGATAAAGGAGACCGCCGCGTTCCTGAATTTCCGACCTAAGCTCAGTTTCTTGCTGTACAGTCTGATGGCCATGGACGGCGGCAACGAGTATTCTGAATGCTCACTCACGAATGCCATGATGGTGTACCCACGTCTGCTTGTTGGAATGACCGAAGACGAGATCAGGACGTCCATCCGCGCCAGTATTCGATGGAACTTGGCCGAGTCTCTAGACTTTTTCACGTACACATCAACTGGCGATTTAGTAGTCGAAGGCGCATACTCCAAAGGCATGCGCGTCTTCAGTGGCCAAGAGGCGACGATGCGTGCGTTGCACGAGGCGGGAGTCGAAGTTTACGTCATCAGTGGGTCCCCCGAACTCTTCGCAGAGGAAGCCGCCGATCTCCTCGGACTTGGGTACATCGTGCCACAGCGAAATGTATATGGCGGTCGCTTCACGACTGACGCTGTCGGTAAGTTTACTGGAGAGCTTCAGAAGGGTTATCCTACTACCTGGGGGCCTGGTAAAGCCACAGTGATCGAGAACATCTTGACGCAGATCCACGCGGGTGCAGCTCCGATCTACGCGTCTGGAGACTCCGATGGCGACTGCGAGATGCTCAACACAGTGCGTGACGGCATCATCGACACGAACAATCGCCTCATGGACAACTCGACGTGTATCTACACTTTCTACGAGAAGGCGTGTCTGTATTTCGGCACAGCCGAGCCAGTCACCAACAACGCTTACCTTCTGCAAGGTCAGGATAAATCCATCGGAACGTGGATTACCTCGGGTTTTACTACTAAAGATGGCGTATCCTACTCGTCAGGTGTCACCGCCCATGGCGGGTGCGCAGTGTACAAGTTTCTCATTGTTTAAACTCGCATCGCGCGATAAGTGTATAAAGCCCAAAATCAACGCGGGTTGAAGTTTTTCTTTTTGCATCAGGTAATTTATGTATACCACGCCATTTGGCAAAAGGAAACCCGCCAAAACTTGCACAAAGCGAAAGGCAAAAGGAAACGCGAGCCATCACTCTTGTCTTGCTGCGTCATCACCTCGCACGATGGGGCCGCGCACTACCCGCGCGACCGCGGCAGCCAAACGGCGTGCTGCTAGCAAAATGGTGCCGTCTACACGTGCTTCCCACCGCCAAAAAGCTGCAGAGGGAGAAGAGTTCAAAGCGGAGGACCCAGACTCGGACCACGTGCTGGAACAACAGACTCAGAATCAGACGCCACAGAGAACCCAAACCAGACGTGCCACTGCCTCGGACGAGGTGTTTTCTGGCAACTATTTAGCGCAAGCAGGACGCAACTCGTCCACACTGAGCAAAAAACTGAAAGAAATGTTGCAAGCACTGCAAAACACATCAAGCAAACTGCAACAATGCGAAGACGGAGTGGTGGATGTTCATGCAACACGCAAGCTGCAACTCGTGGCGGCCGAGCTACTGCAGAACAAGCTACTGCAACACCAGGACAAACTCGCCCGATCCCTTGTTGCCTGTTGCCTGGTGGAAATCATGCGCGTAGCATCCCCGGACTCGCCTTTTAGCTCCGATGAGGACCTCTATCGGGTCTTTAAACTTCTTATCGAGCAGATCCGAGCTCTATCCACAGAACAAACCACGACGACGAGAGATTTGCACCATTTCCACGTGCTGGAGAGTCTGGCAACAGTGAAATCCTGTCTATTGGTGGTCGATTTGGACTTTACCACCGAAGAAAACGAGCCGAGAGTGATGGTCGAATTGTTCGAAGCGCTTTTTGCCACTCTTCGCGCAGACCACTCGGCCAAAATGGAAAACCTGATGCTCAGTATCATGGTGGCGTGTGTCGAAGAGAGCGACGAGGTGGAATTGCCACTTCTGGATGTAATTTTGCGGCCACTGGTGAATGCGGCAACTTCTGATGAGAATGATGGTCAGAATACTGCAACAAGTCCATCACATATGGCAAAGGAACTGATTCGCCGCACCAGCGAAAATTTGCAAACCCCATTGTCAAATTTCTTCAACAATATTCTAGTTGACGGACCCCGTTCCCCAAACTCTTCGGAGCTCAGGGAGCACGTGTACACGCTCATCTACGAAGTGCACAAGCTGAGCCCGTCTTTGTTGCTCAATGTGCTTCCGAACGTGTGTCTGCAACTGCAAGTGGACGAGGTGGCAACTCGCTCGGACGCGATCGCTCTGATGGGGAAGATCTTCGCGTCGTCGCAGGCCGAGTACGGCCACCACCAGTACATGAAGAACTTCCGCGACTTTCTGGGTCGATTCCGCGATGCCAGCAAGGAGATCCGCCTGCAAATGATTCAAGCCAGTGTGGCGATCTGGACGCAGCAGCCAGACCTGGCGGATCTACTGGAGAGGGAGTTCATCCTGCGGCTAAGCGACGTGGAGTGGGAAGTGCGGCAGCTTGTGGTGCACGAACTGTGCGACTTTGCAGCGAATCACCTGGACCTCATCAGCGAGGAGTGTCTCCGAGCAGTGGGCGAGCGCATGAAGGACAAGAGAGTCGTGCTGAGGAAGGAAACCATGACGGGGCTGAGTCAGGTCTTCAGCGCGCACATTTCGTCGTACTGGGGCGACGAGGACGAGCGAGTTCTGTCGCTGACGCAGCGCCATATCCCGACGGGAAACATCAAGAAGCTCGGCTGGATCCCGGACTTTGTGCTGAAATGCTACGCGTACCCGCAGCAAGAGCTGAAGCTCCGTGTGGTTCAACTGCTGGACGACTTTCTGCTGCCCAAGGCGCTGTCCGAAGCCACGCGAGCGAACGGACTGCTGTTCCTCTTCCACTCGCTCGATGCCACGTCGAGAGAAGCTCTGCGTCGAGTCTTAAGTGAACGCGCCAAGTGCCAGCAAGTCTGTCGGACGTTCGTCGAGTTCAAAGTTACGAGTCGACACAAAGGACGGGCCTCTGGAGGCGACGAAGCAGCTCTGGAGCAGGCGAAGCAACAGCTGTGCGACGGACTGGCTCCTCTGTTCTCGGATGTCTCTAAACTGGACAAACTAGTGGAGCAGCTGTCCACGTGGAAGGATCACAGCGCGTTCAAGCACTTGGGCGACTTGTGCGACTTCTCCAAGACGCAACGAGAAGCTCGCGAGGCGAGGGATCAGCTGGTGCGCTGTGTTGGGTCCAAGACGCCGTTGGGCGAGTTCCTCAAGAAGCTCTGCCGCAAGCTGTCGCTGCTGACGATGAGTCAGAAGTCCGTTGCTGTCTTGTTGGAGTTTTTGGTGCTGAAAGAGGCTCGAGTGGCGAGGGAGAACCGCAGTGTTGTGGACTTGCTGGTGATGGCGTCAGGAGAGCTGCCCGAACTGTTCGCGCCATTTGTCCGCGACGAGATAGCGGCAGTTCTAGTTGACAGCAAGGGGGATGTATCCGGCGAAGAAGACGAGGACGAGACGGCGCCGAAGGACCCGCGCGTGATCCTTGGAGCGCTGCACGTGCTGGCCAATTACTCGCGTCATTGGGCGGCTACCAGTGGTCCAGGAGACGACGAAGACCGCAACACGCCGTCTGCAGAGCTATCACAGCAGCTCGAGAACTTTTGTCTTGGGGACAGCGACGTGGAAGCGCAGAACTTTAACGCGGCCAAGGAAAGTCGAGCAGCCGAGTTGGCAGCGTATGCCATCGCGCACTTTTACGAGCGAGCAGAGACGACAGCGCAACTTGTCGGCAGGCTGTGCTCCAAGACGAAACCCAAGTCGGGAGCGTTGCCGGCGTTGCAGAGTCTCGAGGTCTTGACGAAGCACTGCAGCCACGTGTTGACAGAGGACGGCGAGCTGTTCTCCTGCCTGTGGACGAACTTAGTCGACGATGTGATCGGGAAGGGCGACCAAGTGTCGACGTCAGGCTCATCGGCGGCCAAAGACCGGACACCGAAGGGCAGTAGGTCGACAGCTGCGAAGCTCGTGGAAGTGCGCTGCGCAGCCGTCAAAGTGGCGGTGAACCTGCTCGTGTATTGCTGGTCTCCTGCCTTCCAGCAAGAAGCCTCGACGCTGATCCAGCTGCTGTTTGGCGTCTTACACTCGGACGGGAAGACGTTCGCTTCGACTCCTGCGCAGACGGCTGCGCTCCGAGCTACGGCGTCGTGTGGCTTGATGAAGATCGTGCGCAATCGACAGCTAGAAGCCTCGCTCTCTCTGTCTGAGTGGCATACACTGGGCTGGACGCTTCAAGACTCGAGCGAGGATGTTCGTCGCAAGTTCCTGAAAAAGCTGACGTCGCACTTAGTGAAGCACCTCGGTCAGCACCCGCACAAGTACCTCAGCTACTTGGCGCTGGCGGCCACAGATGCCAGCCCCAGTGTGAAGAAAAGCGCCAAAAGTTTACTCAAGTTGGCGGTAGAACGCATGCGCCACTTGTTCGACGCCGCGTCGTCTCGAGACTCAACGTCAAACCCTGGACGGATGGCGGCTCTGATGGTGCCGGAGTACGCGTTGCCCTACGTCATCCACCTCCTGGCCCACCATCCTTCCTTCCCAGTGAAGCTGGTGGAGAGAACGTCGACTGTTGAGGTGCTATCCAGCGCTCTGTGGGCCGATCAGTTGGCCTACCTGAGCTTCTTCCTCGACGGATTGGTGGCGACGAACGCAGCGGCGGCAGACAATATCGCGTTCCTGCTGCAGATGCTGACCAAACTCTCGCAGTGTCACGACGTGGCAGCCCCCAGCGACATCAATATCTACCCTCTCATCGACAGCGCGGCGGTGCTACTCAAGAAGAGGATCAAGAGTCAGTCCAACTTGAAGCCGTTCCCAGGCAAGATTTTCCTGCCCAAGCATCTCTACAGTCCCGGGAGACCGAGCACACTCGCGACGCCCGGTGGGAGGAAAGAACCGGAAGCGCCAGAGTCGCTGGGGACGCATACGGCATCCCGTGGATCGAGACTGCAGACTTCGCTGTCGCCGATCAAGCCGATGGACTTTGCGACGCACTTTATGAAGTTGAATTCGCCTCCTGGCAGCTCACTGAAGAGTTTTCGGAACAAACGCAAGCGCTCGCTGCTCCGAGTCGGGGAAGATGGAGATGACGTGGCTGGGGCAGAGGAGAAGAAAGAGGAGAACGAAGACGAGGCCATGGCGGCGCCTGCTCGACGCCAGTCGGTGCTGGGAACGACTCGACCAGCGTTACGCACGTATGCGGACGATTCCAGCGACAGTGAAGCGGAGAGGCTGCTGCCAGGCTCGGCTACTGCGTCTCAGTCGCAAGCATCGACCGCATCGCCACTGGATGCCCGTCTAGCGATTGCAGAGACGCCTATCGAAGAGAAGGAAGAAGAGCACGAAACACCAGCGAAGAAACGCAAGGGAACTGCAGCTGATGACTACGAAAAGGTAAAAAAAAAACTTGTCTAACGGATGCGATCAAGCTTGAACTCAACTGACATGGTGCTTGTATGTGCAGCCGCGACTTCGATCGGCTCGACGACGCCAGACGTAGGACTCGTTTTGGGCGTAACAAGATGGCGTGGCTTGAAGCCACCATATTTTTTCTATTTAGCAGCTTTTTATCGCTCGGAGCAATTTTGGGATGCACTTTTCACTTTTCGACTTGGATGCATGAATTTAAAATTTTCATTTTTTTAAGCTGATATTATACTTAATGCAGAAATGATCGGAGTGTGAGAAGTCCGATAGAAAGCTTACCTCTTCTTGATTTTTTTTATTAGTACCAACATTTCTGCTAGATTTTCTTTCTTGACACCCTCCTTCAGCATTATGATGTCTACCACAGACTGGCCGGAAGATGCGGTGGAGGGTGAAAAAAGTGAACAGCGAAAAAGCTGTGGCTATTAAGGTGTTAGATTACTTCTTGAATTTTAAAAATCTAGATTAATGCTAACAACGGCGTCACAGTCTCATCCCCTGTAGTCACGTCGCTTTCGTCGACATCGTTCTGAAAACCAACTTCAAAAAGATCGGTACGGCGACTGGGGTTTTCATCTTAGCTACCATTTGATGGAAGAGTTGCAGCCTCCTTACGGGCCCGAGCCAAAAGAATCTTTTTGATTTGCGACGCAACATCCTCTCATACTGAACAAGTATAGGTCATTTTTTTCCCGAGCCCCCTTGTTTCTAGCTTCCGCGCTGTTGGCCATGCATTCCGCAGCTTTCACTTGTCTGGCAGACAACGCTGCGTTTGTGTCGTCTAGCTTTATTCGCTTCTGCCCAATTTCTCGCTTGCCCGAATCCGAAGTTGGCGCACCGGGGGCACATCCGAGCTTGCTGTTGCTTTGTTTTTTCTTGGAGTTTGCTTCTTTTGACGCCACGACCCCACTTCGGTGAATCCTCAAAGAAAGTACCAGCACTGCAGAAAGCAAAAATTTGCCAATTTTTTTCTTCGATTCGTAAGCCTGGACGACCTGGTGCTCGATATCGGATGCCGTATGACCGCTACGCTCCAGAGCTTCCGCTTTAGCGTAACAGGCAACAAACTTAGAGACGTCGTGCGATATGATGCTGAATCGGCTGCTTAATGATCTAGGAACGCGCTCTGCAACCCACTCACTTTTTTTTCGTAGCGCCTGGTCGAATACCTACTTCACACGCTTGTAAAAGTCACCTCTAGACTGATTCGTGCCCACACCTCCATCTCCGCTGGTATTTAGCCACGCAAAGCAGAGAGCTTTGTCTTCCGCAAGAGCAAAGTTGGGTCCTCTGGCTTTGGAAGGAGCGTCGCTCATCTTGAACAATGAAGAAAGATCACCCTTCGAATATCCGTCCGTTTCTAACTCTGATTACGCTATTTTAAACACCACATTTGAAACATTTGGCGGGACCCCGGGGTTCCCATCTGGACTCCAGGGCTCTCATCTCAAACCGATAATACTCGGTACGTGTATATTATTTATCACCATGTTGCTCAACCCTCCTACTTCCGCTGCGATCTAAAGAACTGTAGGATGGACGGTTAGTTTGACCGCAGCGATGTTTCTTTTCTTTTTCTAGGCCGTCCTGGATTGCGTTTAGCCGATGGGCTGGACCCTGCAGCAGGTGCAGCAGAAGTTTCGTCGTCGGTCTGCACAACTCGCGCATTCGCAATAGCTTCAGGTACGTCTGGGTAATAACTGAGGTACTGCTTTGGGATGGAAAAGTACTTCGCTGAGAGCGATTTCTGTTTTTTGGCTGATAGCTCTTTCTTGGGGTGTCGAGGAAGCTGTACACTGGATAGTGAAGCCTCCCAAATACTATGAACGGTTGATCCAAATAGCTCCGACAACACTGCATTCTGGATACGACTATCATTACTGCTGTCCACCGTAGCAAAAACGATAGCCTCAACATCCGGCGTGTTTACCGTCTTCCGAGCAGTGCATATCCCTTTGTCAATTTCAAAAAGATAATTTGCTGTGTAGCCTGCAGGTAGAGGCGTAAAATATTTAGCGAGAAGAGTTCCCCATTCGACAAAAAATGGGCGATCAGGAGCGTTGTGGTCGATAAATGTTCCATTGACACTTTTAACTTCATTCACCTTTTTAACCAAATCCATTGGTGTGTACAAATTGAGGCCGCGGGTGGCGCGGCGGCACCAAGCTATGACCCGATCGGCTATGTTGTGCGAGTGACCAGGTAGTAGGAAGCACAATACTACCTTCTTGTAGGGAAAAATAATCGACAGCCTTGCAAAAACATCATCACTACTTTGGATTTGTTTTGACCAACGCAGTTGTCCAGCAAACTGAAATTCACTTCAGCTGCAGGAACTCCATTGCATGCATTGCGTTAAATAGTTTTTAAACGGTACAAAAGACGGAGACTGCATACTGCATCTGCATTTTTGTCTTTGCCACGTTCATCATAGAAATAAACGTTCTTGATTCCGTTGGTTATGTCCGCAACGACAAAGTTTTGAGTCATCAAATTGCTGTTGAAATAGTCTGCAGACGGACGGGAATGGCCGTAGTACGGCATCGAAATTCCTCCACCATAATCCTCTGCTTGTATCTGTACACGACAGTGTACATGTTCATCACCCTCAGAACGAATTTCATCACCGGGCATGGTATCAACGGTGTCCGGAATAATCTCATTCGGAATCGACTGGTCAGGTGCATGTAAAGTGATGTATCCTTTGATAAAGGAAGAAACAAATCGGCGCTGGGCGATGGTTTCGTCGATGTGTGTGTTTTTTTTCTCGAGTAAAATTGCTTGTTTCTCATCCTCCGATAGATCGGGTTGTTGAAGAAAATATCGAGGCGAACAAAGCAGTCACAAAGATCCCCAGCGGTTCTCGTAAGTCTCACGCCAGGGTAAATGTAATGAACGTATTGTGTAAGGCGAGCGTAGCTCATTGTTCTTGCGTCTGGGTGCTTACGCCTTACGGCTTCTTCACAGCGAGAATGGATAACTTTCCACGTGACCTTTGGCTCGGTAAAGTACTGCCGCAGTTTGCGGTGTGCGCACGGAAAGCCATCCTCCAATATTCAAGTCGAACAATGTGTCTTAAAACGTTCTATAACTTCGTCACTGTATGCATGAGATGGGGCTAAAGGTTCGCGTCTGGTATGAAAGATTTCAACACCAGTCTCTTGCATTTGCTTCAGGCTTGCCTTACGGCTGCCGCCTACAAAAGGTAATCCCTTTAATTACACTCTCCGATAGACCCTGCCGCAGTAGCTGTAGCACAACACCCTCCGATTGTTGCCATTCGGTACCTCCGTTCTCATGCTGCTCTTGAAGCAGTTGCTCTTCTTAGAGGCTGCGCTCGATCTCGCTGCTGATGGCACGATGTAAAGCTAAATCCTTCGTTTGCAGCACTTGCTGCTCTTTATATTAACGCAGCTGTTTCGACCCCGCGCAACAAAACCTTAGTGGTTATGTGTGTGCTGAGCGCTAAGAGGGGGTAGCAATGCTCGTTCGGCTCTCTCTCTCTCTCTTGTTCTTACGTAAACATCTGCTCACTCAGACACTCACGATATTCCCTGTAAAGAGTTGCTTCCTGATGATCACCACATCTCCGTTCCTCCTCTTACCGCGCATCTTGCGGCTTTTAAGGGATTCGTGTTGTCTTTGGCGGCGATGCGTTTACCACTTACTTGTATTTGAGGGCGTCGTGTTGTCTTTAGTGACGTCTGTTCTCCTCCATTATAATCTCTCTTGGATCGAGAAGATTTTACTCGGTGATAACTTGCTTGCAGAAATGCAATATGGTTGTCTTAAGCATATTGACTGCTTTTGAAATCGTTTATAAGTGCGTCAATAGCGTTAGGTAATTTTTCAGGAGTACAATAGACAGAAAGCAAGTGGAGCTAATGGCTGGTGCAACCGACAAACGGAATCCCCATGAGTTTCGGGTGGCTTGCTTTAGTGCACAATTATCACCAACTATAATTTTCACACAAAACAGGTTTTGGCGAAAAGAGGTAGAAACGAGACTAACGGTGACCAATCGTCCTGTCCCTGGATCGCTGAACCATGAAGACAAGAGGACAGCAGCGTACATCTTTGGGCTTGAAGCAGCCGCACGCCGCCATGTTTCCGCTCACTGCCGAACGTTCAGTCGTTGAGAGCAACTTAAAGGCCTCTAGTGGCTCTTCTCCGTTGTTGTTTTTCCTCCACTGCCTTGGTGACGAGCTCCATGTCCTCAGGGATGGCTTCCTTACACAAGGTGGTATATCTAACTAATAAGAGTTTAGCTACGTTTATTGAATAACCATCGTAGTTTTACTGTGATTTACCTTCTGGTCGTCGCCATCTCAACGAACTCAAAATTAACGTTGCGCTCACGATCCAGTTGATTAACGCATATGCGCTAGTCGCCTTCAGGCGAGCTTACGGAATGCGAAATCCGACCGCAGCCGTGCTGGCAGCCTCCATTCCCACCTCGAAGTGGCTAGGAGGAGGAGGGGGGGGGTCAGAAGCGCACGTGGGACATCAGATGGGTGTACCCAGTTTTGGTACGTGTTTTCTTGTCTTCCCGCACGCCTTGCAAGTGTGCAGACCTGTTAAGCCGCCGTATCCAGACAGTAAGGGAGCGACGCTACTTGCATCGGCGAAAGCTTAATTTTCGATTGAAGAAGCGCACCACGGTTCAAATTAAAAAAAATGCTATCGTGCAGGTGATATAAGTTGTGGAAGCGGATGGTGGGTCGCACGCAGGGTGCCCGGCCGTAAAATTGATAGCAAATTATAAGAGGAAATAAATAATAGGAGCGGCGATATTAAAGAGTGGATTATTAGCTAAATTAACTACCTCGCCTTGCTGTGACTGCCTACATACAACCATTCACTGTGGCCACATCCCAATACCTATCGTTGTCCCTGAGGAAAAAAAGCATCTCCAGCGTGATTGGAGAAAGCCTGTTGTGCTCATATCGTAGCATCATGCGAGCAGAGCTAAGCATCCGTCAGACAATGTTGGATGCCAGGGGATGGCGTCCAGCAGTTCGTACTCCCATGGCGTCCTCTACGTCTTTTAAGCCCATCTTGGTCGGGTACGGCTCTAGGGCAAAATAAGAATTATTGGATGCCTTGAACATTGTCTTAAGAGACTGGAGCGCCGAGCGCACTCCACGGAATTTCCGCTTGCAAGTTGAGGTCGTCGCACCAAAGCTTCTTTGATACAGCTCCACCTCCGATAGTCGCTCCTGAAGTGGCTGTAGCATGCCGTCGATCCTTTGAGTGGACAAGATGTCAGCGCCATACCGTAGCTTCGCAGCTTCGACTTACATGTAAATTAATAACCATGATTGTTGTGCTATAAAAATGAGTAACCAGAGTGGGTTTCTATGAGGTAACTGCCAAAATGTCGTACAACTGTAGCTGATAATAACTGGCGGTACGTACAACGCTGTGCTAAAAGCGCTGTCGCTTGAGCTATAACGATAGAAAGTTTCAGATGGAGCCAAAATAACACATATGTGTTGGTGATAATTACTTCTGTAATCAAATTGAACTTGGCCTTTGTTTTTTAAACGTTGTTTAGACAGCAAAAACGGAAACTTCTAAACTGGAGGACTTGTCGCCAACAAGGGCGCAGGATAAAGTTTTTAACGGAGCGGATAGACAACAATACTACATGAGATGTGTAAATCATGGCTGGGTAATTAGATCCCATAAGAAACGTTAAACTTATAGTATAATCGTTTGTTAAACCATTCTGAAATCTTAGATAAGCTATCAAATAAAAAACACTGCCGCTTACAACAACAGCAAGGCATCTTGCGACGCATTATCCAACATAACTGGCAGGTTCGAGTGTCTAATGACTAATTTTGAATACGCACAAAATGAACGCACTTCAATACATTAAAATTGATACAGTTTGAATATTTCTTAGCTTTTATGGCGTTTGGAATGAGAAGTAATTCAATCTTCAGTTAGTCACAAGCTTGAACAGGCAGTACACACGGGTATTTAGTGCAAGCTGGACGGCTATTTCATTCGTTCCATTGATGGGAGCTAAATTTCATAGCGGCTCAGAAACGACCCATGATATCGACGCAAAGCTAAATATAATGTGTAGCGTTTGTAGACATGCTATTTGAAGTGCAGGTGATTATGACACTGGTAGCCAACAGCAATAAAGAGACTGTGTCAAGATCACTAGAATAGCCTTTTTTAAGCATAGTAAGTATGATGGAAGAGGTCCGGTTTTGTAGAAATAATGGCACGGCTTACTAGGAGCTCAGCATTTTGTAGCGAATTGTCTAAATAAGACCTAGATTGATGAGATTAAAGAAGTCGAGTTAAGTACATAGGGGCTCAGAGGTTTTGGAATAAATGTCTCGCCTCTGCTTCGCTTCGGCGGGAAGGCAAACAACTAGAAACAAACCTAAGCTACCGCCGCGTAGCGGCGGCGCTCCGCTAGTCCGTGTCCTACAAACGTTAGCGTTCTCATTCTGGGCCTCGACGATCTCCCCTCAACCTACATCATTTCGGATCTCCTTCTTCATGTCACTATTGACAACACTACAAAGAGCTGTATACACGTGGCAAGTTGGCAAGACCAGTAGAAACACGTGTGATAGATCTTTAGTGATTACGCGCCCTGGTTTAGAAGGAGAAGTCGTTCACCGGAAACCCGAAGCATTGCACAAAGAACAGGTGCTTCCCGCGAAACCGCCGATCCGCTCCGCATGGTAGTGGGCCTCTCCACTACGACCAAGAAGCGGAGGGGGTCAAGCGACTACGAGGCACCTCCGCGGGGCTTTCCCGTCCGAGGGCACCCCCTGCTACACCACAACAGAGCGCTCTTGTTGGCCGTTTCCATCAACGCATCCTGGTGCTGAAGATTGCACTGGGACTTAGGACTGGTGGTGATGCTGTCCGGGAATCGAGAGGCGCTTGCTCGAGCCTCAGCGTCAGAGACAATAGACCCCGGCAAACTTTGATGGCGAAACACGCCGTCCATAAACAGCCGCGCGGATTGATCACTCATGAAAGTTTGAACGTTGCAGACACTGACGCGAGATTCACCATCTTGCTCAGCCGACACGCGAGCACCAAGATACCGGTGCTCCCGAGCCTATCGGCGGGTGGTCCAAATATGAAGTCCAAACTCATCGCCTTCCAACTGTCAGTCTGGACGGGAAAACCTTGCAACAGAGCTGACGCGCGCCCATTGGGTTTCATCCCAACGACGAGGATCTCAAGTTTGATACCCTTCCGTGGTCACTTAAGCCACGAGAAGATATTCCGGTCGGCCTCTTAGGCCTTCGGGTGGACCAACATGTTCACGTGGGCCACCAGGTACGTCAATGCATCGTTAACCGCACTCCATAATGGAGGAGGCCATCGTGCCACTCATATCGGTGGATCCGAGAATGCTGCCTTGGCGATAGCCATTCAGACTTAGCCTCTTTACCCGCGTCCAAAAATCGGACACTAGAAGTGAGCGACTCGTCGCTTTGATACGCGAAGCGAATCCGACCGTGCAGATCTGTTGTTATCCGCACGATGTGAGTTAGCTC